ACTGTCCCATACCATATCGGTATGCATACCTTGCACATGATCCTCATTCCATTCATGTGATTTGGTACACTGCCCATTGTTCTTCGATAAGAAGTGAGTGGTAACCCCGCATTCCTTTCTTCCACTGCTGACTCTGTACGTCACACTCTCTAATATTATCCTTGAGTATGTGGTACGAACGAAATAGTAAAGCCCTTGTTGGTTTTTATGTTTCATGTGCTATACGGATGCGTATTTGGTACACACCAGTAGACAAGCAAGTTGAGTGTTTCTGGGGATTTAGTGTATTGTGGGGTATGTTTTTGTTTGTTCTATTGTTTGTGTGTGTGTATAGTAGCTTGGGGAAGGACGATCGTACGTAAACGAAGAATTTCGCCGGGAGGGGTACTATGGAAACTGATAATTTGGGAAAAGAGATTTGGCAAATTAGGATATTATATTATGCTAGTAATAGTCTGCGATGTTTTTGCTTCTTCACAGGTCATTGTAGATTAAAAAAGTATATGATGAATTTTGGGTTATATGTGCGTAAACATATGTTGATAGAAAGGACGGATGGACAAATGAAAAGTGAATAATATGTACATCTGAAGGTATCCAAAGAATGACATAATGACCAGGAACGAAATAGGTATCAAGGGTAAAAATTAAAGCCAAATAAAAGTGTAGAAGTTAATGTGCTCGTTCATGACTCGAAGTTAGGAGAAAGTGAAGATGCATGGTCAATCATCCTCGATATAACTCCTACTGGACTTCAGACCTTGGTCTCCACAGTCTCCTCGTTGCCGTTGGGAGGAGTCATGGTGCGCTTGGAAGACACCTCGCCATTTTCGGGGCTGGTGCCGCCAATAACATCGCGTGTGATTTCGACGTAGTCGTACTAGTAATTGTTAGATTAGGGGTCATTTGTTTCCATACAATGGAGAAGCACTTACGGCAAATTCACCAATCTCGGCATCGTCCACACCAAGGATCTCCTCTTCTTCGGGGATGCGCAGGTGCAGACCGGGGATCAGGTTGATGATGAAGAGGATGATGCAGCTTCCGAAGAACGAGTAGGCCATACCGGAGATGGAGTCCGCCAATTGGTAGCCGAGCTGAATGTAGTTGTGGTTGATCCAGCCTCCGTCAATGACCGTGGAGCCATCGAGGTGGGCGATGTAGTCACTATTACCAGAGAGCAAGCGTTAGTTGAGTGCCCACCGGTATAAGATTATTTGTTAAGGATCAGGGGGCCTTACGCAGCAAAAAGACCAGTCAAGAGGTTACCAACCAGACCTCCAATGGCGTGCACAGCAAAGATATCCAGCGCATCGTCCACACGAAGCACGTACTTAAGCTTGGTGGCATAGTTGCAAGCAGCAGCACCGACAACGCCAAAGATGAAGGCAGCCCAAGGTGTCACGAAGCCAGAGCCCGGGGTAATGGCCACAAGGCCTGCAATGACACCGGAGCAGAAACCGACAGTGGACCACTTCCTCTCCAGTCTGTAGTCCATGATGCACCAGGTAACACCACCCACGGAGGCAGCCAAGTTCGTGACAACAGCTGCCATAACAGCACGCAAGTTGGCGCTCAAGGCAGAGCCGGCGTTGAATCCGAACCATCCAACCCAGAGGAAGACAGTACCAATGACGACGTGTGTGACGTTGTGGGGACGGTAGTTGAGCTCGTGGGTGCCATGTCCGCGGCGCTTGCCGAGCATCAGGGAGTATGCCAGTGCAGCCGTGCCGGAAGCAATGTGGACGGGGGTACCACCTGCGAAGTCAAGTCCTCCCAGTTTGTATACCCAGCCGGACGAGTTCCATGTCCAACAGGCGATCGGATCGTAGATAATGGTGGACCAAACGAAGCTAAAGACCATGCAAGGTAGCATGCGACCACGTTCCGCGACTGCGCCAACAGCAAGGGCAACCCTATCTCCGTTATCAGTCATCAGTCATGAAGGTTGCTCCATTGTTTGGCGACACTCACGTAATAGCAGCGAACATGCCCTGGAAGACAGCGAAGAGAAGATCCGGAACCTTGGTGCTTCCAACTGAAGGAGCAGCCAAAACACCCTTCATTCCAAAATTGTTCAGGTCACCAATGTACTTTCCAGCGGTGTGAGAAAAGGCCAACGAGTATCCCCAGAAAAACCATTGGAATGATACCACCCCGACAGACATTATTGAAAGCCATATTAGCGACAATGCTGATTTGCGTCGGGCGAGACCTGAGTAGAAAAAGCTGTTGTCGTCAGTTGGAGGGGCTCAATGGCTAGATGGACAGGTGGTAATCATACCCAACACCAGGAATCATCAACAACACCAAAGCCGTAGAGGTGATAACCCAAGCGATATCTCCAGACTGGAATGAGTTAGTGGGAATGACCCCAATCATAGCTTGCATCACATATCTAAGGAAGACATACGCTGTAGTAGATGTTAAGATCTTCTGTCAGGGAGTTACCACCGGTCCCATTGTCCGTGCCATTGTAGGCGACAGGGTATTCCGACATGGTGAATCACACAGGGCTTTCTGATAAAGAGAGGCCCAGAACTGTGTATAAAGTGTCTATGTGACTCCTAAGCCTTGAACACTAAGACCAGGAGCCCTGTAGACTGCAGAGGGCGGGAGATGGGGTCGACGTGTAGACCCAGAGGCCTTTAATGGGTTAAGGCAGCGAGAGATGGGCAACAAGTCGGGGGGGGGGCTTCTAGACACTAGCGATCGAGAGAGGAAAAAGGAATTATGGGACGAAGGGCAATAGAAGATGACGGAGGAGTCTAATTCAAAAAGCAAAACAAGCCACTGCAGGGGGAAGGAGAGGGGATGCAGGAGTGATAAATAGTACTGGAAATAGTCGGAGCAGGGCGATGATACCAGTCAGAATGAAACGCCATGGTCTCACTTGCATCGATTCATGGCCGGATCCACCCATTCGGGCACTAGGCGCAACCCTGGGCCATGGTTAGTCGCAATCAATACGACCGATAGATAGATATCAGCAAGCAGCAAGAAAGCCATGGCGGCGGATAAGAGCGTGGAGACTCCGGAGGGATGAGTGGATGAATGGATGGGATGGGCTGGGCGGGCCAATGCGCGGCTTCCCGTTGGGATATTCCACTTGACCTGCAGCGGGATCCAGCCATCATCCTGTAATAATGTCTGCTGGTAGTACCTTCGTCTCCCGCTAGCTGGAAGGAAATCAAACGAGAACGTGGACGGAAAAGCCAAGTTAGGTATGTGTGGGTGACACTGGCTGGGTGCATGGCAGCCTAACCGCGCCATGCTGCATTGGTGACAGGCAAGAAGCTGAGAGTTCCATCTATGTTGTACGCTACTAATTACTACTACTTACTATGGATAGGGGTCGAAGATGGTAATGTGACCGACTACTAACCTAGCATACCTACTGTAGTAATAGTAGTAGTACTACTACTACTACTATGCAACTACCGATAGAGACCCTGAGATTGGGGATTTCAGTGACAGATCGGAGGAAATAATGGATAGTAACAGCGTCATTGGACTCGATGCAAGGCGGATAAGACTCAAAAGGAGCAGGAAACTTCCGAGGGACTCTTTAGTTTTCGTTAATTTCTCGGACAGCTTTTTGCGACTGGTGGGAGATAGCATTCAATCGGCCAATTAAAAACAATGGCATTACCTGAGCTTACTACTCCGGACTCGCAGCTGGAATGGTTATCTATCAATCATTACTTACTCTCCTATCTATCAGAGACAAGGCTGCGGATTGAGTTTGTGGCTTCACCCATCGTTCTCGAACTTCCATGGGTTGAGGAGTCACTGTACTCCAGTTAGTACTCTCTGTACCCCAGCTGGCTGACAAGGACCACGAGGTAGCCAATGACTCTCTTATTTACTAGTTCGTATGGAATTAACCCATGGGAATTCATGGTCGCGTCGTGAATTCCTTCAGCCCAGCCGGTCTCGCTGTGCTTATCTTCAGGCTTCGGCCGTCCAATCAGCAGTCGGCTGGGATGGCTTATCAGGCCTCCTGATTTCCTCTTCAAAACAAACCCCGTGGGTTCCTGTTACTCCTGGCCATTACTGTCGATTGCAATGCTGATACTCCATGACTAGTAAGTAATGCTTTGATGAAGCCAAGTCCTCCGTCTCATCATCCTTGTCGGACGGTGTCTGCGTTGTTCCTTCATAGCAGGAAGGTTACTCCGTACTCCTTGGAGATACCTACTATGTTACCAGCTGACTTCTGAGTAACTTCCTACGGCAATACTGTAAGATGGAAGCAGGACAGTAATCTGAATATCTCATCAATAATTCAAAATATATCTCAGAATGAACGTGAAAGAATAAACTTGTATGGGATGGCCAAGTCCAGATCAAGCGATCATGTTTCCAGCACGGATCATAGGGCTGCTTAACTGGGATGAACCAACTCCACTGAACCACAACAGCAATCGATATCCCTGAATCAACGGTAGCACCAAGTAACACTATAACAGTTCGCTAGTTAGTATCCCGCTATATCTGTCAGCAACTTGGAACTAGTTCCTCTGTACCTCTACACGGAAGTCTACAATATTGACCAAAAACCACTCAGTCCTCCCAGCTGCGTCTCCCGTAGGTAGAGATAAGCTCACCAGTCCCCATTGGCTAGGGCAATTCGGCATCCCGACTGGCTCGGACTAGCGGGCTTGGCACCTTTGGGGGGATTCTGTTCTTTCAGTCTTCATCAATCATCAATGCGAGATCATCTGAGGATTTGATTAACATGAATTTGATAATCATATCGTTCCATTTATCTCCGCTGCTCTTGTCTATTACAGAACAGAATGTCGAACAAGCACAAAAGTGTCGATAATAGGTGCTATGTGTGATTAATCTCTATCCTACACTAGAATACCCCAGTACTTAGTACTATCTTCTGGACGACTGATACAGTCCATCGTCATATAGAATATAATACCTCTCCAGGAGTTGGACCACAACACTCCATCCTGACCTGGATATTTTGATACTGCTAGCATGATGTCATTGTCAAGATAATATTCTACTAGGCGGTCGGATCAACAGTTCCTATAGTTCACTGTCCACCAGACATTGGTACCTGCTTAAACTTCCCCGGAATTTCCAAAATGGATCTCCAAGAGACCCGCAGCCCCAATTCAGGACAATGGGTTCCACTGATCAACCATCAGACGCATGCCACTATTCACGCCTCAGGTCGATCTTCAAGATGTCAATTGATCGTCGTCCGACTTTTTATCCAAGGATCACGCGGGAGTTTTCGAGAAGATGCGTGAGGCCGCACTGAGCGGATATTTACAGACGCCCGAAAAGGAGAACGCATATCAACCCGACAAGTCTCCGTCTGGACTATAAGAAGTAGAGTTTCAGATCACCTTCTCGGTTTCCCGACTTGGTCAATTCGAGAGGCATGCCGATGGTTGCACTTTGCTTCTTTTATGTCGCTTTTTGGGGGTTGGATCATTTGGAGCGCTGAACGCGGCCTACAGCTTTACGAATACTCTTAGGCAACCACCCACTGGGGCATTTGCCAGTACTGAAAACTCTTGACAGTTCATACTGAGAGAGGGATAGTGAGAGATGAGTAGGATTTTATCAATCAAGATCGTAAACTTACTTCTTATGGCCATTGATAGGTGTGAATATGCCTCAGTCCTCTCAAAATACCTCTTTCAGCACCAGCCGTGTGAGCTGTCATATTCTTACACCTATGAGTACTTGCAAGAAGCAAGGGGCCAGTCTCCACAGTAGAAACCAATTCAGGGCTACCATATCCCGTTAACAAAAGCCGGTGTGAGACTGTCCACATGATTCATGAGATCTGGAACACCGCTTACAGAGTAGTAGTATTTTGTAAAAAGAGGCATGTGCCTTCCGCCTGAGGCACCATTCATCTCGTGATTGTGGCATAATGGGCCCTACCGCCTCCCGATCCGGTATAGGTGTGGCAGGAATAATCCACCTCCGGCTGAAGCTCCGCCCTGTCAATCTAGAGCATACCACTCGGATTCAACCTCAGAGGCTTCACGATTTGCACCTTTTGAATGGCAGAGGAGTCCAGCCGCTTGTAATACCTTTCCATTATATTTACCTTCGCACTCCAAAGTCCTTGAATGCAACTGGTACGCCTGCGCGATATCAGCCCGGGTCCGGAACCGATAAGTAGCACAGACGTGCACCGCCACACCCCCCTATCTATCCGCTTGAGGCTTCCCTTCCAACCCGCTTCTTAAACGTCGGACATGCAACATGGAATCTCAGCAGGACCGCGGGTTTCCGATCATGGAGCATCCTGATTTGAATAACCATGATTCGGATGGCTCCGGGTCCTCCGATGAGCTTCTGCAGCAGCCATATGCTGTAAGAACCAACTCCAGTTTCCCGGAGAATTTCGACAACCAGGTCCAAACCCCGGCGACGACTATTTCCTCCTCCCCTCCGCCATCCATTCCATCTGCCCTGCCATCATGGGCAACTGGCACGCCCACACGCCCCCGCGGGGCCAGTATCGGTGCTTCTGCTGCTCTCGAGAAAGCTCCGCCGATGGATGGTCATCCGGTGACCGATCGTGAACTACGGCCGCAACGTCCGTCCGGCCCCGCTCGAACGCCCTCCAATACCTACGCGCCCCAACGACGCCCGCCTCAGTATATCAGCTTCCAAAATGACCGCCAACGAAGCTCATCAACGAAGCGAACATCTAGACGCGATCCTAATGCACAGTATCGAGCTCAGGAGAAGGCGTATGTCCAGCGCATTCGTGCGGATCCTCAGGCCTGGTACAGTCATTTCGATGAGGCTCAAAACATGAGCATGACGGTGGGGGACTCCGACTTAGAAGAACCCTCACCATCCTCTGAGGTGCCTTTCGAAGACGATGCCTACGATCCGGACATTCAGCTCTTCCTGACCGACGACAATCAGCCAACGATCGAGGAACTCAAGAATCCACGGAATCAAGAGAGGCTGGAATGGCATTCCATGCTTTCATCGGTGTTGAAGGGAGACGTGGTGAAGCAAGAGAAGCAGCGGTTGCTCGGTTCTACAGAATCGAAACGATCGTCGGCTCAGAACAACGCAATATGGTTGGGTGTCAGAGCCAGGACATGCGGGAGGAGTGTTGCGCTGCAGAGGAAGCTTATTGAAGAAGCGAGGGCTGGCCTTGGCCCCGTCATTGAAGAAATTATCAAGTTCGAGATCAAAGGTGAAACAGAGATCGGAAAGCCACCTATCAAGCAGGTTGAGGATATTGTCGCACAGATAGAACGATGCGAAAGCCTTTACTCTACTCACAAGGAGTTGGAAACTGCCCACCCCCGAGTGGCTTCGGAGGAGTTTCACTCGAGTCGCGACGCTGTTCTAGCTTGGCACAACACGACTATCTTGATCAACACCGAGCTGGCTATCCTGCAGAAATTGGTTGGAAACGATGAGTTGGATTTTAACAAATCGAGAACGAAATCAATCAATAGCGACCTTTCCGACGAAACATCCTTCCTCGATCGCATCATGAAGGAGGATGGCCTCAAAACCCTCCAAGGGAAACATAACATGCTCCACGGCATTGGAGAAGTCATCCAAAAAGCAAAGAATACATTGATTGAGAATGCGGGCTCCTTCGCCAAACGCCACCTACCTCCCTATATCGAAGAACTCCTGACTTTAATCAATTTTCCCTCTCGTCTCATACAGGAGATTATCCGGGTTCGACTATCTTACGCTAAAAATATGAAAGACCCAGCTTCGCAGTCCGCCATTTTAGTCGATCAAATGATATCGCAGTTCCAGATTCTGATGAAGGTGGCGGTTGATATCAAACGGCATTATCTGGATATCGCCAGACCCGAGCCTGGCTGGGACCTGCCTCCTTGCATTGATGAAGGTTTTGACGCAGTCGTCTTGGATGCGATGAAGTATTACTTCCGGCTTCTGAACTGGAAGCTGACTGCAAATAAGAACACGTTCAAAGAAGCGGAAATTCTAGAGCAGGATTGGGAGTTTTCCAACGAGGTCGGCCGACAACTTGAGGGCGGAGATATCGAGGTCGCGGAGCAGTTCAGGTACGAACAATTCTTACACTAGACGATAGATTTATGGCTAACCTGAGCTAGTGCACTGACTGCCAAGTCAATTCAACGCTTGATGCACCACTTCGAGCGGGAGTTGCAGCCTCGCCATGACGAGGATCCAGCCGACATGGACAAGCGTTATAAAAGCGTTTTGGACTCAACCCGGATCCGGCAACGGAAGCTTTACCGATTTTCCCGATTCTTGCGCCAGCTGTTCGAAAATGCAACCGAATACAATCTACCGGCTGACATTGCGTACGACTTTTTGGAGTCGCTGCTTGTGTCGGATCATTTCATGATTAAATCAAACGTCTCTGTGGGTCAAAAAGGTGTTTATCTCTTTGCGCACCCCGCATTGTGGGATCGCCCCGCAGATATCCAAGCCATCTTAGGCACGTCGTTTCGTGAGGATGACACCAGCAAGGATACACCGCATGCACCGTATATCCTCGTGGTTCGTCCCGAAAAGCCTCTTGCTTGGGCTGGCAAGGAAATGCAGCTGGGCATCATGGAACAGCCTACGGACTTGCGACTGGGCAAATTGCGACTTGTGGTCGAAGGGACGCAGCAGCGACTGTCTAATGCCAGACATGAGCTGACACATCTCACTGGTATTCAGCTCGATATGGCCATCGAGCAGCGTGCTAATCTTGGCCGGGTCAACGTGGAGCTTAACAAGATCAAGAAGATCTCATTCAAGCTGTCAATGACTATCATGGATAGTGTTGCCCGTATACGGGAGCAACTAAAGGAGAAAGACGTGGAAAATCATGATCTAGTCCAAGCATGCTATGCGTTTGCTACCGAGTTCGGCAAGCGTTCTTCAAACGTTGATCCTAATAGACGCGCAATGAACAGCAATAGACTCGTCGAGTTGTCCCTCGACTGGGTTTCGTTCATCTGTGATGATTGCGATGCTGCTGACAGAAAGACCTTCAAGTGGGCCGTCGCTGCTTTGGAATTCGCAATGGCTATCACCTCCAGCAGACATCTCTTATCTATGGATGATGCTCAGTATAGTCGTCTGCGGCAAAAGGTTGCCGGATGCATGTCCCTTCTTATATCTCACTTTGATATCATGGGTGCTCGATCGTCTCGTGCAGCTCAGGCAGAGAAGCAACGTTTGGAAGAGCGCGGCGGTTCGAGACGAATGGGCGCAGGGCGGGTCCTTACAGATGAAGAGGCAGCCAAGCTTGTTCGGGAGCAGCGCGTGGCTCATCTTACCGAGATCGAGGAAAGACGCGTTGACGAAGATGCTAAACGCCAAGCACTGGGAAGGGTTCTAGAGGGCTCAAACGAAGCAGACAGGTCTCTTACGGTGCTTTCATCCTCGGCTACGAACGTTACTCTGCGATGGCAACAGGGCCAATTCATTGGTGGAGGAACGTTTGGGTCCGTTTACGCTGGAATTAACCTTGACAGTAACTATCTCATGGCTGTCAAGGAGATTCGTTTGCAAGACCCCCAACTCATCCCTAAAATCGCCCAGCAAATCCGCGATGAGATGGGTGTATTGGAAGTCTTGGATCATCCTAACATCGTCTCTTACCACGGTATTGAAGTGCACCGCGACAAGGTCTACATCTTCATGGAATACTGTTCTGGTGGGTCCCTTGCCAGCTTGCTTGAGCACGGACGTGTCGAGGATGAAACAGTCATTATGGTGTATGCTCTTCAGTTGCTGGAGGGATTGGCGTACCTGCACCAGGCTGGCATTATTCATCGCGATATCAAGCCTGAAAATATCCTGCTTGACCATAATGGTATTATCAAATACGTTGATTTCGGTGCTGCGAAGATCATCGCTCGTCAGGGCAGAACTGTCGTCCCTATGGATGCCTTCGCTGGCGCCGGTCACAAGGACGCCATAGTGCCTAAGGACGCCCAGCTGGCTCACAACAATTGGGGCAAGAACCAGAAAACGATGACCGGCACTCCGATGTACATGTCGCCCGAAGTAATTCGCGGCGATACCACTAAACTTATCCACCGCCAAGGAGCCGTCGACATCTGGTCATTAGGATGTGTGATCTTGGAAATGGCCACGGGTCGTCGTCCTTGGTCCACTTTGGATAACGAATGGGCCATTATGTACAACATTGCCCAAGGCAACCAGCCGCAATTGCCATCCCGTGACCAGCTCAGCGACCTGGGTATTGACTTCCTCCGACGATGCTTCGAATGTGACCCCAATAAACGGTCCACTGCAGCGGAACTCCTCCAGCACGAATGGATCGTCTCCATCCGTCAGCAAGTCGTCCTCGAGCCAGCCACGCCTGGCAGCGACAACAGCGGCGGTAGCTCGCACTCAGGCAGTCGTCAGAACTCGGCGTATCTGTGATCATTTTGATCTCCCTTCCAACGTATTGATCTACCTGATCTATATCTACATTCTTCGTCTTACCTTCAAAACAACCAACCTACCAGCCAACCAACCAACATGATGTCCGCATATTGTCTTCTCATCCCACTTGTTCACACCAACCCTTCGAATCCATGTTCGCAATTCATCTCTCTCAGTCCTTTTACATTCATACACGCATAAAAATTTGCATTTGATACCCCGCCGCCAAACTTTACATTCATTCATTCATCCCATCCACTGTCGCCGTGTCTTACATGTCATGTCATAAGTAGTGTTTTGTCATGTTTGAATTTTTTTTCTTTCCGATTTTGTACTCCTCTACCTTGGGAGGTTTCCATCAATATAGCCATGTGATATACGATACGTGCTGTGTGCTGCTGTTTTTCGGGATGGGCTTGATTTCACTTTTCTTTTTATCCAATTCACCATTATAGTAGTTAGTGCTCGGGAAAACGAAAGAGTATTCTATCTCCTTTTTATGAGGTTTATTAGTTTATAACCTATCCAGTGCTGTTAGTTATAAACATGTCCATGATGCATTGAAGGAAGCTTTCTTCGAGGATACAGAGTATGGTTGGCACACTATCTTTTATTGATTTTCTACTACGTACCTACTGGTTGAACCTCTTCTACTACGTACTAGGTCATATTAGATAGCAGGGTGTTTGCTCTCGATACCGCTCGTGATACTACCTAGAACTGAAAACACAGGCGTAGTGGTGAAGTAGTAAATCATTGAATAGATGGATAGATAGTAATATATATTCCTCACTCAGACAGGCAAGAAAAGAGAAAAGTTGTCCCTTGGACAAAAAAGGGGACCAACGCTACCGCTATCAGATATAAAGAAGAACCGGTCATAATTGAGAGATGAGGCAACAACTGATTCGAAGGGAACAAAAGCAGACATCAAGGAGTGAAGTCGTCCTGAAACCGCTGCCTAGTTTATCAACTAGAAGTCCTCCCTGTCGAGAGAGAAGACGTTACATTGTGTTGAGTTGTGTGCTGCGCTGCGTCATATTGAAAGAGATGAAGAAGTGCGAGGATATAATTGGCCAATAGTGTTCCGTTCCATACCGTATCGTATCAACCAAGCCTGCGCCGATAGAAGAGAGAAGAAGACAAGTCGGAAGAAAATTCGTCAAGAGACATCAGTCAAAACAGAGCGGGGTAATAGTAACTCCGACAGTATAACCGTAACAGATCAGCCATCGCGGCTGGGAGGCTCAGAAGTGAACGTAACCATGTAATAGCCATTAATTGTAGAAGCATGCGAAACCGTAGGTGATGATAAATGAATTCCTTTTGCAGTGGTCGAACCGACCACTGGACAAGCCCGCAAGAAGATCAACGAAACTCCATGGCTGGCGCACAACCATAGTCTTTGACATGTCTGAGCTCGAGTTGTTGATACCTAGCAATAAGAGTCAGTCTTGCTTGTCGCAAATATCACTAAGATGAGGCAGAACTTACTTTTCGCTCTTGGCGTGAAAATAGATCCCAGCAACCGTTCCCTCCACCTGATTGAAGCAGATGTAATAGAAGCCTTCGAAGCTAGCTCCGGAGATTGACCTCACGCGATGATCGGGAACGAGGAAGTACTCCTTCCAACGCATAAAAAGGTGCTCACGCTGGGCAAAATTTCGAAATGTGAAATCCGGTCTCTTCGCCTGTTTCGCCTGCGATCGCCAAGCTTGAAACCTTCCCCAGTGTTGCATGTCAGTCTTTTCGGTCGCGCCCCACGCTTCATTTCTAGTTTTGAATGTGTGCTTGGTCCCAATGATCTCGCCTTCAAAGAACGTTGTTAAAGTAGGGTGATCCTCGGTAAGACCTGATGCAAAGAGATTAGAATCGGATACAGTGGGCTGGTGTAAGCGCTCACGGACCTTGTATGCGGAGGTATCCACAAAGATAAGATTCAAGCATATCAACGTGCTTAATCTCCACATCAACGCTGTAGACATGGCTGTCTGACTGCTGTGTACCAGTAAATCTACTTCCCGGTCGCAGAAACGACGACGAATAATTGGGTAAAAGCTAGCACAGTCAGCAAGGGAGACCTAGAGAACGAAGGAATAAAGTAGGCCACCATACCCGAATGTTAGAAAATTCATAACTTAGCAGAGAAGTAGCCGATGAAGGGGTGACTGGAGATACCGGACCGGAGGGGCATGATGACTCCGCAGCAGGGCTCAGTCTCCCCGCAGCAGGTTCGTCTTCCGATCTCCCCACGCCCTTCGTGGGCGCTCTGGTCACTGGCTCGCCCGTCACGGGGTCCGCATCGGCAGAAGTGAAGGAAGTTCCATCTGATGGTGTTAAGGCGGTATGGTTTGATGGACCGGTTGGCGAGGTGGTGTTGTCGGGAGCATCATCGCTGGTGTTTCTCCTCTCCCACGCGGACACCCAGGGATACGGCCTTTCTTCTCTGGTATGTAGACTCTCTCTATCAACCTCCGGTGGACAGGTAGAGCGAGCGGAGATTTCTTCTGCAATTGAAGCATTCAAGGGCGGGGTGTTATCACTCGGAGTCGGCATTGGAGGCTAATTAAGGAAGGAATGACATCGGAATCGATAAGATTGCAAATTCCCACCGATAGGGCGAGGAGTGAAACAAGATCAGGCGGAACAGACAAGCCTGATACAAGCACAGTAAGGGCAGCTGAAGGATAGGGGTGATTTATTGGACCGGAGGGGAGGGTGGGCGAAGTAAGATGGGAACGGGTGAGGACGACAGCGGGATCGGGGTGGCAAATAGAGAGTTGGGGCGCAGACAGCGGAAAGAAGCAAAGTTTAGGGAGAGAAGTAAGGAAAGCAGAGGAGAAAGAGGAGAAGTCGGGGATGAAGGAGCAGGCAGAGGAAAGAATAGAGAATGGACGAAGAGAGGATCGATTAGTTTGGTGGTCAGTCTGGGGCGAGGCACTGCCCAAAGAGGAATCGACCGACTGATCATGCGAGCGCGGGGGAGGCAAATGGGGCAAACGGCGCCTCGGGCGGTTATTCGAGCATTTCTGGCATTTTGCAGCCTTTGCACAGTCTGGCACGGCCTCCCTTGCAGCTTTTTCTTTTCTGACGCTCGTCCCGAAGGACGTGGCCCGCTACAATAATATTCCCCATTATGCAATGGCCTCTGCCTCGCTGTTTTGATTTCCGTTTTCGGCGCTTTTTTTACACATCAAACACTTCACACACATACACTCATCCACTTCCACTTCCACACACGTCGTTGGGTATTCCAATTCCTCCGCTACGTTGGCCTCAGTGGCAAGCTCCCATTGCGTCATCGTCTTCGGTGAGTCGCTTTGCCATCGGGCCTCATTTCAAGCAACCCAAAACTGCCAGAACAAATTTTTGGGGAAATATGGAAAAGGAAAGGTTAAAAAAGAAAAAGTAGCACTAGTAGTATACCCGCCACGGCTGCAATCAAATAGAAAACGCCTATTATTCATCCCAGAAAGTGAACCATTTCATTTCATATTCCCACAACCATCACCATTTAGATAGGTTTGATCTATTACCGAATTAGACTGGATACTCTTGAAATGAAAAGAAACAACGAGGCTGTAATTACCTTGAAATGGAGCGAAATCAGCGAGAAGATGAGGGCCTTGAGGTCCTGGACGAGATAGTAGAACACTCGCAGGCCTTCCGGGTCCGCAGATTCAGTCACATCCACCAATGAGCCGATTTTCGCAGTCTACATCAAATGTCAGGTTCCCATCTGTCATCAGCTATGTCAATAACGCATTAGACATACCTCAAAGGAAATATGCTCGTTCCCAAGCCGAATTTCAAGTTCCTGACGTCCATCCTTGTTCTTCTGGGGCCATTTGGAGTCATCCTCCCTGCGTCGCATCAGCATCTTTGTACCCCTCCAATCCCCATTGAAACCCATGGCTTGACTCACTTCATGATCTCACTCTCCTTGATAATGCGCTTCACCTCTTGAATCATCGACGCGCTCACGCACACTGTAGTGATCGCCCATTAGCGACCGATGTAGAACCGGACGGCCCTTTCCTAGCACTCACTTTCTTTCCGAATCAGAGAATCATTGCGGTAGTTGGAGTTGTTCGCATATCGCACGGCAGCACTGCGGCCATCGCCAAGGGTACGGAAGTCGAACTCTTCAGGGCTGTTAATAGGGAAGCTCGAGATGTAGACCATCGCGGGGAACCTACCTAGAAACTCATGTCCGAACCGCCCAGAGTGACCTGAGCTGCGGAACTGTCAGCAGCTGAGGAAACCTGGGCCACACACAGATCATCCTTACTAGTAACGGAGGTAGAATGGTTCGCCTTGGGTCGACATCTTTTGTAAGCCTCAACCGACAACGTCTGGGATTTGACACGACAAAGGGAAGCTGGAAATGAACGCTTCGTAGCGCGTGCCTGGATGGAATTGCCTGGTTTGCAGGGTTGGTCCAGGCGGGGCTTAGTCATCCACACACTCCGGACAGCTTGCTCCGCCGCGCAAATGGCCAGGTTGATACTCAATGTCCCCGGATTGTCAACATTCGCTCTGATGAATGCTAGGCAGGTGAGGGGAGACAATTTACACTAAACTAATTTCCTCTACTATTATCGAATCCTTTTGGGGAGAGTCGTTCCAGTCCGTCTTCCCATCCTTCCCCCCTGACCGGCCCAAACAACCACCTGTACTGATGACCGCTTCCAGCTCTCCTCCCTCCTGAACCATTCCCTGTATCGGCCATTCGTTCGCACCGCTCGATCACCATGGCGTCCTTCCTCGAAAATGCATACAGCTTGGTCCACCTGGACAACACTGCTGATCAGCCCTCTCTGCAGGAGCTGAAGCTGCAGTTGGAGAAGGGTACCGATGAGACCAAGATGGAGACAATGAGGCGGATCATCACAATCATGCTCAATGGCGACCCTATGCCCCAACTGCTCATGCACATCATTCGCTTTGTCATGCCCTCCAAAAGCAAGCCTCTCAAGAAACTCCTATACTTCTACTACGAGATCTGTCCGAAACTCGACGCGAATGGCAAGCTGAAGCAAGAGATGATCCTGGTCTGGTAAGGAACATGGCGCATCCCGACATTGTAGGCCATGCTTTCTAACAAACGATCTTTTTGCGCAGTAACGGTATCCGTAACGATCTTCAGCACCCCAACGAATACGTCCGAGGAAACACCCTGCGATTCTTGTGCAAGCTCCGAGAACCGGAACTCATTGAACCCCTCCTCTCATCCGCACGCTCCTGCTTGGATCACCGCCACGCCTATGTCCGGAAGAACGCCGTGTGGGCTGTCGCTTCTATCTTCCAGCACTCGGAGTCGCTGATCCCAGATGCTCCGGAGCTTATCCAGGCGTTCCTCGATACGGAGACCGACGGCACCTGCAAGCGCAATGCATTCGCAGCCCTCATGTCCATCAGCCACCAAAAGGCCCTGGAGTACCTGGCCTCTACCTTCGATAGCATCCCGAACACGGACGAACTACTCCAATTGGCTGAGCTCGAGTTCATCAGAAAGGATGCTGTGCAGAACACTCAGAACAAGGTGGGCTTCCGGAGTTGAACCCCGTTGCAGCCGGTTGCTAATTATCAGTAGGCACGGTATCTGCGGCTGATTTTCGACCTTCTCGATGCATCAACAAGTACTGTCATCTACGAAGCTGCCACTTCTCTTACGGCACTCACCAGCAACCCCGTCGCCGTGAAGGCTGCGGCAAGCAAGTTGATCGAACTCTGCATCAAAGAAGCTGACAACAATGTCAAGCTTATTGTCCTTGACCGGGTCGACCAGCTACGCATCCGCAACGAGGGTGTTCTTGATGATCTTACTATGGAGATTCTCCGCGTTCTCTCTTCCCCGGATATCGATGTTCGTCGGAAAGCCCTTAGCATTGCCTTGGAGATGGTCTCGAGCAAGAATGTCGAAGAGATCGTCATGCTGCTCAAGAAGGAATTGGCCAAGACTGTTGATGAACAATATGAAAAGGTAGGCTCGCATGGTCTGCTCGTGACATATAGGAATGCTAACAACCTTGCAGAACAGCGAATACCGTCAATTGTTGATCCAGTCGATACATAACTGCGCCATTAAGTTCTCGGAGATCGCAGCTAGCGTTGTCGATCTTCTGATGGACTTCATCGCTGATTTCAACAACAACTCCGCCGTTGATGTGATCTCGTTTGTCAAGGAGGTCGTGGAGAAGTTCCCCGCGCTCAGAACTTCTATTGTTGATCGCCTGGTCTCTACTTTGAGTGAAGTCCGTGCCGGCAAAGTCTACCGTGGTGTCCTGTGGGTTGTCGGAGAATACTCTCTGGAGGAGAGAGATATCCGCGAAGCCTGGAAGCGGATCAGGGCCAGTCTCGGCGAAATTCCCATTCTTGCATCGGAACAGCGACTTCTTGATGAAGTACCTGAGGATGCGGCGCTCAAGGAGCAGGTCAACGGGCACTCCAAGCCGTCAGCCCCGACCGGATCACGGAAGGTTCTGGCCGATGGCACCTATGCCACCGAGAGTGCTCTGACCAGCCAATCTGCTGCGGCTGCTCGGCTTGAGGCTGTCAAGGCCGCCCAGAAGCCCCCTCTCCGTCAACTGATCTTGGATGGCGACTACTACCTTGCTACTGTGCTTTCGTCCACCCTTACGAAGTTGGTGATGCGCCATTCGGAGGTTTCCGAAGATGTTGCTCGGACCAACGCCCTGCGTGCAGAGGCTATGCTCATCATGATCTCCATCATCCGTGTTGGCCAGTCGCACTTCGTCAAGGCCCCCATTGATGAAGACTCCGTGGATCGCGTCATGTGCTGTGTGCGCTCGCTTGCAGAGTTCTCTCAGAAGAAGGAATTGGAGACTACCTTCCTGGAAGACACCCGCAAAGCCTTCCGCGCCATGGTTCAGGTCGAAGACAAGAAGAGGGCCGCTAAGGAGGCCGTTGAGAAGGCTAAGACTGCCGTCCAGGTTGACGATGCCATCCCCATCCGGCAATTCACCAAGAAGGCAGCTCTTGAAGGTGCTGAGGAGATTGAGCTGGATCTGGCCAAGGCCACTGGCGGTGACTCAACTGTGGAGACGGTGTCCTCGAAGCTGAGCCGCGTTGTGCAACTCACTGGTTTCTCGGACCCGGTATACGCCGAGGCATATGTCACGGTTCACCAGTTCGATATCGTTCTGGATGTGCTCCTGGTCAACCAGACCCTTGAGACCCTGCAGAACCTGAGCGTTGAATTTGCGACTCTCGGAGACCTCAAGGTGGTGGAGCGGCCCACAACACACAACCTTGGACCTCGCGATTTCTTGAATGTGCAGGCTACAGTCAAGGTGTCGTCGACGGACACGGGTGTGATCTTCGGTAACATTGTGTACGACGGGGCGAGCTCGACGGAGTCGCATGTTGTTATCCTGAATGACATCCATGCCGACATCATGGACTACATCCAGCCGGCACACTGCACTGAGACGCAGTTCCGGACGATGTGGACCGAATTCGAATGGGAGAACAAGGTCAACATCAACTCCAAGGCGAAGAACCTCCGCGAGTTCCTCAAGCAGCTGATGGAGAGCACCAACATGGCATGCCTGACGCCTGAGGCGTCTCTCAAGGGCGACTGTCGGTTCCTGAGTGCCAATCTATATGCCCGGAGCGTATTTGGTAAGTACTAAATCTCCATACCGCTATTTATCCCACAATCTGCCTTTTGGATAGCCGCTAACATGACTTTCACAGGTGAGGATGCCCTTGCGAACTTGAGCATCGAGAAGGAGGGAGAGGACGGGCCGATCACCGGTTTTGTACGGATAAGAAGCCGTTCTCAGGGTCTGGCCTTGAGCCTGGGGTCTTTGAAGGGCCTGAAGGCGTCTACAGCATGAATAGAGAATCCCCTTTGAGCCGTATTTGAATAGCCACTACCCTTGTTACCTACTACATGACTCTTCTGTTCGATTTTCGACTGCGCTTTTTTCTTTATCTTAACTCTTCTGTGTTCTTCTTAATGGACGAAGTTGTTGACTATATGCACCTTTTACTCTGTTTATTCTGGATGAGAAAAGACTTTTTTATCTCCATCTCAATGGAAATCCCCATTTGAATGACTCTGTTTTATTTTTATTTTATGTATGTGTGTATGTATGTACCACCATGGCCAGCTATCTTCACAGTAGGAAGGATCTTGCCCAAGCTCACCTGTACCACGTTGATCAAGCATGATGCATCCCATCCCCGCACACCCCGCAGGTGATGCCTCGGAACTATTGCTGCAACTGTCCGACTCCGATGTCACGGAGGACATTATTCCGAGCAACATTGGCCTTGTTTAGAAGAACGTATAAGAGTCGCCAAAGTCCTTCGATGACCAAATCAGACCCCAAACTAATGTAATTTATGGGCGCGGAAGGGACTGCGCGCATTCCTTAGATAAGGACCAATGCTTGCGGCGATCTCGGCAGTGCCTGCAGTGGCAGGTATCCCTAAGAATGACCGGAAACCCACCAGATCCAAGTGTGCATCATGTATGGCTTGGACTCAAAAAGAAAAGGTGTTCCTGTCATGGCATGATGAGGTGCAAGTCATTATCTGAGAGGCTGAGAGCCTATCAATATTACAGGACAAGTGGAGTGGTAAAGAAGTGGAGCCCGCCATAAAAGTTGGACTGCCGATAAATTGATTATCGAATAATGTGAATGGACGGTTCAGTGGTTCTCCGAGTCTCCGGTCTTTCTCCGCTCCATCCTGAGACTTGCCCGTTTCATTCCCCCAACACCTTCCTTCTCCTCGTCTCAAACTCTTTCGTTTCCTTCGTCTTTCTCTTATTATTCTTATGGTTATTCTTACTGACCACATTCACTTCGACACATCTATCTTTCCTCATCTTTAAATACGGTCGGCTCTTCACATCCACGCTGTGCCCTCCGCCGGGCACTATGACCACCTCCAACGGGCCTCCTCGCCCGTCATTTAACAACGCGGATCACCCGGAAACTCGGGATCAGCTGCTTGAACATGATGCGACTCTGATAGTCTCCAACTCGGTCTCTCTTACCCTTGGGGGCGACTCTCTTTTGATTGTCGGTAGGTCTCAGGACGCAATTGCTTTTTCAGGGTCCTTTCACCAAATTTCCGTGTTAACGAAATACCGGCATTCGCGCAGATGAACGTTCCATGCGCAAAGCCGAGCGTGGGTGTTGCGGCATCGCCAGCAAAACAGCCAAGCCCACTCACTCCATTGCACTCTACAATGTCTTGGACGCCGACCTGTCGCCCGAGGGCCTCACGATCACTTATGCGGAGCCGGCCTCTAAAGAGGATGTCTCGGTGTCAGCCCTGCGCTACCCGTTCGCACCCGAAGAAAAGGCTGCGGTAGAATTTTGGACGAACAAACTCTTGTCCGTTGCGTATGGCACCGCCAAACGGTACAAGAGACTCAAGGTTCTGGTCAACCCGTTCGGTGGTCAAGGCCACGCCGTCAAATTGTACACCTCGTATGCAGCTCCCATCTTTGCTGCAGCCCGCTGCCAAGTGGACGTGCAGGAAACAACGCATGGAGGCCACGCCGTCGAAATTGTGGAGCAACTCGATATCAATGCATATGATGCCATCATTTGCTGCTCCGGAGATGGTTTGCCGTACGAGGTTTTCAACGGTCTTGCGAAGAAACCTAATGCCGGTGAAGCTTTAGCTAAAGTTGCCGTTGCAATGGTGCCTTGTGGGTCCGGAAACGCAATGGCCTGGAATCTTTGCGGGACGGGCAGTGTCTCAGTGGCGGCTTTGGCCATTGTAAAGGGTATCCGGACGCCTATGGATCTAGTCTCAATCACGCAGGGGAAGACTCGCACGCTGTCCTTCCTGTCACAATCCTTCGGTATCATCGCGGAATCCGACCTGGGCACGGATGATATCCGATGGATGGGTGCTCACCGTTTCACGTACGGGTTTCTCAAGCGCATCATGCGCCGCGCCGTGTATCCGTGCGATCTGGCAATCAAAACCGTAATGGATGATAAACAAGCGATCAAAGATCACTACAGTGCTTACGCGCAGAGCCAGCCTCCTAGTCGTCCGGATGAGGGTACTGCAGAACAGCCAAACGGGCTTCCCGAGCTCGCGTACGGCACCGTGCTGGACGAACTGCCCAAGGACTGGGAAGTAATCCCAGCTGAGAATCTTGGCAACTTCTATGCGGGCAAAATGGCCATCGTGTCCAAGGACACGAACTTCTTTCCTGCCTCTTTGCCCAACGATGGTCTGATGGATATCGTCACCATCGACGGGACTCTCAGTCGTCTGACCACGCTCAAAATGATGACTGCCATCCCTGAAGGCGACTTCTTCGATATGCCCGACGTCAAAATCCGCAAGGCTCTTGCGTATCGGCTTGTTCCCCACGAAAAGAAAGGCTACATCAGCATTGACGGAGAAAGCATTCCTTTTGAAGCTTTCCAAGTAGAAATCCACAAGGGCTTGGGCACTGTGCTGTCGAGGTCGGGACACCTATACGAAGCCGAAGGACCCAAACCTTAGACATTGGGGATGGTACAAGCGAAAAAAAAAGTAGCGGGTGGTACTTGGGATGTCATCGTTTCTTTTCTCTTCATTCTGGTCTTCGCACTCTAATGATACCCTGGCGCAAGACTTTTTGTTTTGGCTTGCTTGCTTGCTCTCGTTTCAATTGGGTCATGCTTTCTGTATACTACTAGACAGCAGTGCAACCAAGATGGTTGCATAGCCCATAGAGTCATATAAATATATATTGTTTCATTCACATGAATATGTACTGGACCAGCCGGTGGCTAACCAGTACAGCATACGCACGCTGCCATCCAACTCACAATTCTATACTTCCACTTTTTGATCAAACAGAAAAAAGAGAAGAGCCATTAGGATTTATACACATAGATATGAACACCTCAGTCAAACCCATCCCACTCCTCATCACTACTCTCCTCCACCACCTTCCTCTCCTTGACCCCCCACTCAACCAACCGCTCATCATCCAATGTCTCCGCAGCCCGAGTCCGCACAGGCTTATACCCACTCTCCTTCTTCAACTTCTCAATCGGCCTCAACAAAAGCTCCATCGGCACTCCGCCCTTAATCTTCTTCGTCTGTTGCCCTTCCTCCGCCCCTTCAATCTCCTCAAACTCCAACACCTTCTCCAACTCATCAATCCACACATCCATCACATGGTACCGCAATCCGTCGGGTCCGTGCGGCATCGGCACGTAATCCTCCTTCTCGTTCATGGGCGGTTGATCCGGGTCGAAGTTCAATGGGCACAGGGGTCCTTCTTCGATGATGTTGATGTAGGATTCAAGGGCTGACCAGTCTTGGGGTTCAGTTGATGTCGTGGACTCTTCGGGTTGTTGTTGGGTTTCTTGTTTCTTGTTCTTGTTCTTGTTGTTCTTCTTGTTCCGCTTCGAGGATGTAGGTTCGTCTTCTCTTTTGCGCTTGCCGCCGTTTGCTGTGGATGTGGTGGAGGATGTGGTGGACTGGGGCTTGAGGAGCACTTCGAATGCAACGCCCACGTAGCAACGGATCAGGAATAGGTACTTGTCTAGACGGAGACGGTCGAGCGAGTGGAAGTCCCGGCCGATGGTTATCCAGAATGCGCGGAGGAAGCGGTGCAAGGTGCTCCGGGGGAGAGTTGGGACGAGGCTGTAGCTGAGAGTGCGGGCGAGGGCTTGTTGCGTTAGGGGACGGTCGGAGTGGTAGAAGCCTGGTTTTGGTGAAAGTTAGTCGCTGTGGGATGATTTATATTTGGGGGGAAAGGGGGCATGGCGTACAGAAGAATAGACCCTTCCAGAGTTTGAGGAGGTCGATGAGGGAAAGGTCGGTTTTGCTGCGGAGGAAGAGTGTGAGGGAGTCGGTGGCTTTGTCGCGGATTTTTTTGTCTGTGATTTTATTTTCGTTAGATTTGGTTTTCCTTGGAGGGTAGAATAGATGGATTGAAGGGAGGGGTATGTACCGCTCGAGGCGAGATCCCGTACGAAGGGAGTCTTGGTCACGTCGGACATGGTGGTGGTTTTCAAGTCGGAATTGATTCGAGTATGGTAAGTCGGGGGGCTTGGTTTTTAGGTATGTGATGTTCGCGGGAGCGAGGCGATTGATATGCCTGCGCTTTCCAGAGTGTGGGTTTCCTCGGTGGCCTCTGGACAATGGTGGTTTGGGGAAAGTCCTTGAGATTGATGAAGCTATTCGTAACTTTTTTTTTTCTTTTTTGGAGATATTTTCTGTTTGCATTGTTTGATTGGTAGTGTGGCTTGATTGGTTGGTTGTTTTTGGATGTCGGTTGTGGTGGGGCTGGTGTGGGGAAGGCGATGGACTATTGTTGATCGGGTTAGCAAATCATTTACTATCTATGTAGATATCATGGCGATTTTGGGATGAGGTATCTATGCGTGTAAATGATGGAGGAAGGGATAAATACAGTGTCTATAAAGAGGACCGAGATGGTAGGATGTATATTGTATAGTATACGGCTCTTGCTCAGTTGACGAGCGTTCCTGCCTATCTTAGTATCATACCGATATTCGCTCTTTCCGTTTGTCAGTCCTACGAGGAAGGCCCATCTTCTCTCTTGTCTTCTTCCCTCCCTTCCCTTTCCCATCTCCTCTTCTTCTTCAAGAGGACGCTTCAATTCGACTCTTCAACTCGATACTCGATACTCCATTAACCTCTTGGTATGTACAGCCTGGTTATCACTGAGATGAGTGTCTTCGTCTTGTTATCAAGTCATAGTTCTGACTTGCTATAGAACCACCACCACCACCACCACCACCATTAACAACAACAACGACGACGACGACGACGACGACGACGACGACGACAACAACAATAACAACAACAACCTCACCACTACCACCATCACCGTCACCGTCACCACCGTCAGTCGCCATCGACAACAACAACGACTACGGTAACAAAGGCACAAGCTTGTTGAGTATCTGCTACTCCTCATTTCTGTCAGTCACTGATGCTTTACAGGTCTTCCATTTATAGCTATTGGCTAGCGAGAAAGTCACTGACGACACGATAGTTACGACCTGGGTGATCACCCATATCTATCCGGACCCGCAGCATCGGAACGCCTTGTTGCTGCGAAGTGCATCCCATTGTGGTTGCAAAACCACTCAGCAACGAGGCCATTGCTGTGCCAGAGTGGTTCACTGGGCTGGGCTGGGCTCACGCTCGTCGCCCTGCCCCCCAGGCGGTCCTTGATAACGCCGACAATACCAGAGGCGCTGACTACTACTGGCCCGGGCTCAGGCTTGGGCCAATATTGTGGTCAAGCGCCTCTGTAGATTTTGATAGCTTTAGATAGCTTGTCCCTTTAGCTAGCTTGTATCTTTAGATAGCTTGTATCTTTAGATAGTTGTATTCTTAGATAGTTGTATCCTTAGATAGTTGTATCCTTAGATAGCTTGTATCTTTAGATAGTTGTATCTTTAGCTAGTTTGTATCTTTAGCTAGTTGTATCTTTAGCTAGTTTGTATCTTTAGTTAGTTTGTATCTTTAGATAGTTGTATCTTTAGATAGGTTGATAGCTTATATAGGCCGATGAAGCTATCTCAGCATAGTGGAGGCACCAGAACGATGGCTGGGCACCTTTACGCGGTGTTCTGGATAAGTAGGCCGGTTCGAAAGAACCTGCTGAAACTAAGACCCGGCCACTTAGCGTAGTTTGATACATTCAGTGATGGGCTGCAGGCAGGATAATGGTCGGTTGTTTAATTGTGTGGCGTTGTTCTCAGTATTTTGAACCATCCCCATTGTATACAATCATCTGGTTATCTCTACCCGCCTATTACGGTAACATCTTGCCTTTCAGTGGGGACCTTTGGAGGATGCGTTAACCCCAGACCTACAGTGGTCTAGAACGCTGCATCTCAAGATTTGATGCCCGACATTTGAAAACTTGAGTTTCTCGGAATATATTGTTCAAAGCTACAGTTCAGTTCCTGCGCATAAAAACTCAATACATATAATATGTCTAACGCAAACAATGCGTGGAGGGAAAAGACAACCCACGCATCTTCCGCATCCGGATAGTCACATCCCAGCCCCTCCAGGGACGGAACCACACCTCAACTTCCAATTAGCAGCTCTTCCAGCTCTTCCCTTGCTCTTGTTTGTTCCACTGATTGAATTAAGGGCGCCGGATAACAGCATCATTGGGAATCAATGGCTTCCCCGGTCTCCCGTCGTTACACGGAAGGTTACGGGTGACATCATCACTTGCAACATGCACAAATGGAAACGTCGAGCGTCCTGAATCTTATTTGCAACCCCCAAACTCTTTGTCGGTGAATGATGTCGGCAAAGGTGAAGATCCGTCTTCTATTGGGGGAAGCTGGCCATGGGAGGAAGGCACGCGCTACTCAAATCCTGACTTCCTGAAATCTTCGACACCCCCGTTTGGTGCTCTGAGAGCCTATTTTTCTTCACCAGCTTCTGCTTTCTTTCGTTTTCTACGGTGGGCTCTGCCCTTGTGTCCCGCTCTAGCCTGCCATCAGTCTCTTCTTCAAAGATGGCGCAGCTTGAAGAGCCCGACGAGAGCTCGCAGCCCAGCTCCTCAAAACATGAGGAATTGGCTTCTGGGCCGAGCAACTCTCAAGGACCACCGCGATTGACGCGCAATGAAAGCTCCTTTATGGAGAATATGGACCCTGAGCAAAAGGCTGAATTGACCCGCTTGGCTTCCAATTTTCCAAGGCGCCAGAGCACTCTCGATTCAACTGTCGATGGACCGGTTGAACGAAAGGACACACTCGAAGGACTGGAAATGGGCGACCCAGTCCTTGATCCCACAAATGACCAATTCGATCATTACAAATGGGTTCGCATAGTGCTGAAGATATTAGACAGGGAGGGAATCCCTCGACCTCCTTCGACTGGTGTCGTCTTCCAACATCTTAATGTCTCGGGCTCAGGTTCCGCCCTACAATACCAGAACAACGTGTCTTCAATTCTTCTCGCCCCTTTCAGACCACAGGAATATCTGCCTTGTGTGCAGCGCACTCCGGAGAAGCATATCCTGCGCGACTTTGATGGCCTCCTCAGAAGTGGTGAGCTTTTGATCGTTCTGGGGCGCCCCGGGAGTGGCTGTTCAACTTTCTTGAAGTCCTTATGTGGGGAACTTCATGGCCTGAAGCTCCGCAAAAGCTCTGAAATTCAGTTCAATGGTATCTCCATGGAGAAAATGCACAAAGAGTTCAAGGGCGAGGTGCTATACAATCAGGAGGTGGATAAGCATTTCCCGCATCTCACTGTCGGTCAAACGTTGGAATTTGCCGCCGCTGCGAGAGCGCCCGAGAACCGAGTGCAAGGAGTTACTCGACAGCAATATGCTAAATACGTTACTCAGGTCGCGCTGACTATCTTTGGCCTGTCACATACGTATAACACAAAGGGTGCGTCTCTATCATCGACTTCAAGCTATTGAATGTTCCTTGTATAACTAATACTGCCTCTAGTTGGCGATGACTATATCAGGGGTGTATCAGGAGGCGAACGAAAGCGAGTTAGGTATGCTTTATCCCGGATCTGTCGTCTCGAATTGCCCTAACCTGTCTGCAGTATTGCTGAGATGGCGCGTGAGTCACCATGCCACTTCGAGTATAGCTAGCGGTTCAGTTGACATGCTTCATAGTCTCCGGGGCACCTGTCGGGGCATGGGATAATAGTACTAGAGGCCTCGACTCTGCAAGTGCTCTGGAATTCGTCAAGGCTCTACGGGTTTCAGCAAACTTAGCTGGTACCTGCCATGCAGTCGCGATATATCAAGCATCCCAAGCAATATACGATGTGTTTGACAAGGCAATCGTTCTGTATGAAGGCCGCGAGATATACTTTGGGCCATGCGACGAGGCAAGGGAATATTTCGAGAACATGGGGTGGCTTTGCCCGCCGCGTCAGACAACTGGTGACTTCCTGACATCAGTCACTAACCCCCAGGAGCGTCAAGCACGCGAAGGAATGGAGGACAAGGTCCCTCGGACACCAGACGACTTTGAGAAGTACTGGAAGAACAGCCCTCAGTATGCCAGACTTCAGCGGGAAATCGAGCAGCATATGAAGGAGTTCCCATTGGGTGGAAAGCATGAGCAACAGTTTGGTGAAATGAAGCGCCTGAAACAAGCGCGACATGTTTGGCCAAAGAGTCCCTATATAATCTCGATCCCCATGCAGGTAAAGCTTTGTACCATTAGGGCGTATCAAAGGTGATTGCTGCTACACGTCGTTTGTCTGTGAAGGAAAGAACTGCTGACCTCTTTAGAATCTGGAATGATAAACCTTCCACGCTGACGAACGTCATTGGAAGAATAGCCATGTCTCTCATCATTGGCTCAATGTATTTTGGGTAAGTCTTTCATTCACTGTGGTTCGAACGTACGCTAAGACATCCAGGACACCAAATGCCACTGTGGGCTTTCAAAGCAAAGGAGCTGCTCTTTTCTTCGCTGTGCTGTATGTTACCCAGAATGACGTGAATAAGTCCTTCTCCCAGATAGCGACTATCGTACAATCAGAGGATGATTCGGAGAATATGCTGGCTGACTGCATCTCAGGATGAACGCCCTCATCAGCATCACAGAGATAAACTCGCTTTACGACCAACGGCCAATAATTGAAAAACAAGCATCATACGCTTTTGTCCATCCCTTTGCTGAAGCCTTTGGTGGTATCGTTTCCGATATACCCGTCAAATTCGTCTCTGCTGTGGTGTTCAACATCATCTTTTACTTCCTAGCTGGCTTGGTAAGTACATACAACGACTCCGGTGGACGTGGGCACAATATTGACTATTAGATAGCGTTACGAACCATCCCAGTTCTTTATATTCTTCCTCTTCACTTTTTTAAGCACACTAGCGATGTCTGGCATCTTCCGGACCCTTGCAGCCTCGACGAAGACACTTGCACAAGCAATGGCTATGGCTGGCGTCATCGTGTTGGCCATCGTCATCTACACCGGGTTTGTAATACCTACACCTCAAATGTCCTCTATTCCATGGTTCAGTTGGATTCGATGGATCAACCCAGTTTTTTATACCTTCGAGGCTCTAATTGCCAACGAGTTCCACGGCCGACGCTTCACATGCTCACAGTTCATACCATCATATCCGACGCTGACTGATGACTCTTTTATCTGCTCCATTCGTGGCAGTGTTGCTGGTGAAAGGACTGTCTCTGGAGATGCTTACATCGAAACCCAATACAACTATACGTATGCACATGAATGGAGAAATCTCGGGATTCTCATAGGGTTTTGGATCTTCTTCACTGTGGTCTACTTGATCGCAACAGAACTCAACTCGGCAACCTCGTCTAAAGCTGAGTTCCTTGTATTCCGGCGAGGCCATGTCCCTCCCCACATGCGCGGCCTCGACAAAAAGCCCCAGGGAGATGCCGGGGCTGGTAGTGTTGCCGTGGCCCACAGATCCGCCGAATCAGAGAAGGATGCATCTGCTCTTCCCGAACAGCATAGTGTATTTACGTGGAGAAATGTTTGCTATGATATTCCCGTCAAGGGAGGCCAGCGACGTCTTCTGGACAATGTCTCTGGGTGGGTCAAGCCTGGAACACTCACAGCTTTGATGGGGGTGTCAGGCGCCGGGAAGACTACTTTGCTTGATGTCCTGGCAAAACGTGTTTCAATAGGCGTTGTTACAGGCGACATGCTTGTGGACGGAAAGCCACTCGACAGTAGCTTCCAAAGGAAGACGGGATATGTACAACAGCAGGATCTGCATCTTTCTACAACAACTGTCAGAGAAGCTCTGCGCTTCAGCGCACTTTTACGCCAACCTAAGTCGGTTTCCAAGAAAGAGAAGTATAAACACGTTGAGGAGGTTATTGAAATGCTTAATATGCAGGATTTTGCTAGTGCTATTGTCGGAACACCTGGTGAAGGTTTAAATGTTGAGCAGAGAAAATTACTGACAATTGGTGTGGAGCTTGCCGCTAAGCCCGCGCTTCTGATCTTTCTTGATGAGCCAACTAGTGGGCTGGACTCACAAAGCTCTTGGGCTATTTGTGCTTTTCTCAGGAAGCTCGCAAATCATGGCCAAGCAGTGCTCTCCACAATTCACCAGCCCAGTGCGCTATTGTTCCAGCAGTTCGATCGCCTTCTCTTCTTGGCAAAAGGAGGGCGGACGGTTTACTTTGGAGATATAGGAGAGCAGTCACAAACTTTACTGACATATTTTGAGTCAAATGGTGCAAGGCCATGTGGGCCGTCAGAAAATGTAAGTGCTCTAATGACCGTGTGATGCCTTATGCTGACGATGAAAAGCCCGCCGAGTATATGCTGGAGATTATAGGTGCTGGCGCCTCTGGAAGAGCTACCAAGGACTGGCCAGCTGTTTGGAACGATAGTCAACAGGCCAGTGATATTCAGAAAGAAATCGATCGGATTCACCAAGAGAGAGCCTCTGCCCCTGAAACTGGCAATGACGATGCACAGAAAGGGGAATACGCCATGCCGTTCCCCAATCAGCTGTGGCACGTAACCCATCGTGTTTTCCAGCAGTATTGGCGTGAACCTTCCTACGTATGGGCCAAGCTCATTCTGGCTACTGCTGCCTCCTTGTTCATCGGTTTCACATTTTTCAAACCCGATAACAACATGCAAGGGTTTCAGGATGTCCTGTTCAGCGCCTTTATGCTCACTTCGATATTCTCAACACTGGTGCAGCAGTAGGTACATCGTACTTCTTCCTTCGACAGCAAACTAACGAGGCTTCAGGATAATGCCAAAGTTTGTGGTTCAGCGGTCACTCTACGAGGTGCGAGAAAGACCCTCCAAAGCGTATTCATGGGCAGCATTCCTTGTCGCCAACGTTCTGGTTGAGATACCCTACCAAATTCTCGCCGGAGTCATTGCCTACGCGTGCTACTACTACCCAATATACGGAGCCAATCAGGCATCTCACCGGCAAGGGCTCATGTTACTCTTCGTCGTACAATTTTACATGTTCACCTCAACGTTTGCCGCTTTGGTGATTTCCGCGCTGCCTGATGCCGAAACAGGAGGTTCCATCGCCACGCTTATGTTTATCATGGCTTTGACGTTCAACGGTGTTATGCAGCCACCCCAAGCACTGCCAGGTTTCTGGATCTTCATGTATCGAGTCTCTCCACTGACCTACCTGATTGCGGGTATCACGGCAACAGGGTTACACGGACGGGCGATTCAATGTTCCAGCGAGGAGATGAGCGTGTTTAATCCTCCCTCTGGTCAGACCTGTGGCCAGTACATGGCTCAATACTTGCAAACTGCTGCGGGAACACTGTCTAACCCAGCAGCGACTCAGGGATGTCAATACTGTCAGCTGCAGAATGCCGATCAATACCTTGCAACAAGTGAAATTTGTACGTTCATGTAATCCCATTTGCCCTTTACCTTTTACGTATGCTGACGAATCTAAAGACTACAGCCAGCGCTGGCGGAACTTTGGAATAGGATGGGCTTACGTGGGGTTCAACATCATGGGTACAGTCGCCTTGTACTACATGTTCCGAGTCAAGCACTACAACCCCACTAGTCTGGTCAGAGGCGTGGTACAGGGCGCAAGGGTGGTCTGCCGCGTGTTCAAGAGACGATCCGGACAGACGCCCAAAGGAAGAGAAGCCGAAAACGGAAAATTGTTCTAGGGTTCTAGAAGGGATAAACATGATCTACATGTCGCGGGATATTACAGTTATATTTTATTGTCAGCATTCTGTTGACTATTTGTCTCAGCATATTTTATGCTTGTCATGAAATATAAAACACGCCTGTTAAATAATCAGCAATCATACTCAGTTACTTTGCATGTACGTATGTGCTAACTCATCATGAGTGAACAATTCAGCATAATTAGCATGTCCGTCCTTGATAGTGGCTAATAAGGAAGAATAAAACAAGCAGCGAATCAGATAACGCAATGGTCCGCAGCTGAAGCATCATTGGTCTAGTGGTAGAATTCATCGTTGCCATCGATGAGGCCCGTGTTCGATTCACGGATGATGCACAGCAATTTCTTTTTGCTTTTTTCTCGCTTTCCTCTGCTTCATTCCTTCGCTTCCATTTTCCTTTCTTTCTTTTTCACTCACCCTCTTTCTTTTCATCGACAATATACATATTCAACAATTTCATCTCGTTGGACTTGCTGATATTTTGCGTGAGGCATCGAATACTCTAGCGGGGAGATGGCTCAGCACGATTATATATAACCCGCTAACTGAGCATTGTGGGCATTGGTTACCAACTAAGCTACTAAGACGTAGTACTACTACTAACGGATCGTGATTTTGTAGTTGATACACCGATTACTAAATGAATGGCTATTAGGAGGGTTCGTTATTCGAGATAATGAACATTAACACTAGAATAATAGTACTACTGCAACCCGTAGGAATCATGTATAGATGGGAAGATACTATGTACTGTTATCACTGGGTATTTAGGAATTTTTGTGGTATTATTAAGTGTAATGAACTATGTAATTGTTAATTAAGGTAATAAGTACTAGACAAGAAGGAATATTCCATCATAAAGGAGGGAAAAAAAAGCCATGTGATCAATCAAACACTAATTGGGGTATTGTGCGGAACCAAACAAATAGGACATGGACGTGAAAATAGACATGATCGAAGTGATGATGTCTTTGCATCTGGAAATGAGGGAGAAAAAGTTAGGCATGCCAATTCGATGGCAATGCTGTCGTGAGCTAAGTCGGTAGGTAGGTTGGGGTATCGGGGGTATTATCACCATTAAGTGAAAAGGTAGTCGGTCGGTCGGACGGACGAGGTGAGGTGAGGTGTGTTGTATTGCGCCGTGCTGTGTTGTTTACTTCTGCAATATCAGACCGTAGATCAAAGTGTGGGTTAGGTGGATCGGTCTCTGCAGGTTGTTCATGCAGGCAGGCTATTAGGTTGCATGTGAGCTATCGCAGCCACGAAACTGTCAGGACACCGATTGTCGCGGGACAACGAGGGCGCTGATAACGTGGGCGGAATTCCATCCTTGGTCAACTAGGGGCACATGTTCCTTGAGCATTCTGCCTAGGTAGACGAATCTCACACGGTGAGTGCGCGGAATCTACACAACCACTGGTGTTTTAGTATTTCATGTTCAATTCTGATTCAAGAGAGGTTTTGGGAATAAAATGCAGCCGACGTACCCCTGCCTCTTGTTGCACTTTGCGGGCTATCAAGCCGACGTTCATCGTCTTCACCACAGACAGGATGATGTCGGGGCCGCCTCTATCGCTCAATCGCGCACGGATGCGGATCAGATCACGTTCGCTAGTCTTGCCCTTTTCGTCCCGACGACGTTCAATGTCATCGGCTATTAATTCATCCCCGGAGGCTTCGTCTGAAGATAGCTTGCCGTCGTCCGTGTCGAAGTCATCGGGCTCCTCGTCGGATCGCACGATGTTCTCTGGGTCGCTGACAATGCACTGTGGTAGCCGATATAGTACACCTTGCTCGTCGTAACAGCCTTGGCAGAGATCACCGGTGGGGACGGTGATGCCGGCTGCATCAATGAAACTCTGCGCTGTTGCGAGATCACCGGCGCGCATCAAAGAGATGGCCGCAGACAAAGCCGCCCAGATCTCTGAACGACCTGTGACCCTAGTTTCGAAGAACTCGGTGCGTTCCTGGTCCAGTTGTGTGCGGGTCCATAGGCGCCGTTTGCTATACCAGACGTGACGACGGATAGGCGCATTGTAATGCTGGTTCAGCGGGAAGTGTTCTGCCCTGATTCGGGATCCGCGCGCCCTGGTAGACGAGTTGCCAGAGGTGAGCGCATTGCTTGTTGCGGCAGCTTGGGGATGAGAGTCTTCGGGACGGCGCTCTTCGGTAACTACCTGCGCTGCATAGGAAGGACGGCTATTGTCGCGCGATATAGAAAAGCAACAACCCTATAAATTTCAAAGTTAGTGAGAATTTGAAACCCAGAATGTCATGTACAAGGACTAGGTGGAAGAGAGAGGAGAGGGTTGGCTGCAGAAAATGGGCATTTGAGATGACGGATAGCAGGACGGGATGGCATGCGACTCCGCATCGGGAAAATGTATAGGATGCGGAGATGAAGAAATCAAGGAGAACAGGAGGGTGGTTCCAAGACTTACCATGTTGAAGAAACAAGCTCAAGCTCCATCAGCCAAAGACAACCAGTCGCCAGAACCGACGGGGGTCAGTGGTCAGTGAGAGTCACTGCAGGGACGCAGTTGGAGACGACCAGATGAGGAGGGGGGTGGAGGGGGGGGCGTTGGAAGATGTGGTTCACGATGCCGGCGGGGGAGAGCTTATTAGACCAGCCTAGTCTAATGAGCCGTTCCTATCATAAATGGAGGATCCTCCCATCCAGTTATCGCAATCGGTCGTATGACCCGAAGCGGTGGAAACACCCAGTTGCTGAGTGGTGGCGGCGATGCGGAGAGCTGCAGCGCAATGGCCTGACCAGCGATGCAGAGGCACAGAATGGAATAAAGAGGAAGAGAGTTTGTAAGAAAGAGAGAAAGAGAGAAATACGGTGACAATGACTGAAGAGGGAAAAGCAATAGAAAAGTACTGTATGCTGATCGACCAGTGCTGAGGTAAATAAAAGGGACCAACCAGCGGGGGAAGAAGAGGAGGATATGACGATGACGGCGCACCGACGTGAGGGGATCAGCCCAAGGTTGACTGGAGGGTTCGCCGTTCTCTTCTTCGTGTTAAGCAAAAGGTCGAGAACTTTAAGCGCGGAGCCTAGTTGATATTGCCAACCGATCACTCGCTCCGCAACGTTTCCTGCGGTGTCACCCTGTGCAAGTCTTGTCCAGACCGTTCTTTTGCGAGTTGGAGAGTTGGAGAGGGAGAAGTTTGGGGGGAAGGAGGGAAGTTGCAAAGGCGGCTTTCTCTTCCGGCTTCACTTGTATCGGATGTCACAGTTCCAGTCCTCCACTGGGTAGGAAACTGAATAAAAAAGTGAAGAAAAAGAAAAACAGAAATAAACAATTATTCTACTCTGATTGAGAATCTACTGCATATTTATTTTTTCTTTTTTTATGCATCCACTGTCAGGTGGATCTCCTTTTTCTTTTTTTTTTTATCAACCAAAGAAAACTTTAAGCGGTCGGGTACGTGGAAGGAGTGGGACTTTGCAAATATCCCCAGACGATCATTACGTTTCAAAGTCAATATTGGCTTTGCCTGCAGGAAATACGAAGACTGGGTGTCTATCTAGCTGTACAGGTCCAGGATCCCCCAATATAACAATCAGCTCATATCCTCATCCTCATCTTCATCGTCGCCGCCAAAGATCGCCTTGAACACCGCCTCGCCCGGCCGCTCGGCTTCTAATGCTTCGTTTCGCTCTGGCTCGACCACCACCGGTGCCCGACTTCCCGCTGGCCCTGATGACGTCGGCGAGGCCGCGTCTGCAGCTGCCAGAGATCCACCGCCAGCCTCAAGCATGAGTTGGTTCATAACATCCCGCGAAACTAACTCTTTCGGCCCGGAAGCGGTCTGGTAACCTGCCGATTGGAACCGGCTCCCGGAGACGGGGGCTTCAGCGCGTCCCGATGGCGCACCAGGATCCATTTGGACATGCTCGGGGGGCCGAACATTGAATCGCTTGCACAAGAGACGCGTCGGGTAGAAAGAGATGCTACTTCGAGTCATTGGGCCAAACATGCCAATTTTCGCTGCCTCCACTGCAGGGTCCTCTGGTTTGGCTGCGAGCTTGCTAAGCAGAGGCTCCGCCGAAGAAGACCCGTCAGACTTGTCGGATGACTCTTTGGGTCCAGAACTGGCAGAGGTGAATCGCGATGCCATAAGTCCAGACATGGGCTTGAAGACCTCCGCCGCGCGCGCAAATTCGTGTAGTTCCGCTGCCCATTCATCTGTAGTAGATCCGGGGACCCGGTCCGGAAGGCTGTCACGGAGTCCAGCTCGTACTTGGAGAAATGTTCGATAGCGGTCCCGTTTGCTTAGATCTTCTGCATACGGCATCCAACCACTGGCTGCTCGGGTGAGTGCCTGAACGGCTACCTGCTTGTCCAATTTGGGTACGAGATCCCACAAATCCTTGCGCTTCTCCGCCTCTGAGAGCTCGTAGCCTTTAGGGGCCTTTTCACCAAGAGCCGGCGGCAGATCGGTCTTGCCCGTAAGCTTCACGATTCTTTCCCGAGCCTCAGGAGTCATCCAATCGAATATGGACTTTCCGGGAAGTTGTGCTTCTCCCAAGAGCGCGGCTCTTGCGGTAGGATCCATTGACGAAGCTTTAGCTGCCTCCGCCGTAGAAACGTAGCTTGAGACGTCCCTTTCCTGTGTCGGTGCTTTGCTGGATTTCCAATCCTTGGGGATTTCTGGTGGCGCATACTTCTTCTCTTGCGAGGATATTGAGAGGCTTGAAATGCCATCCGCAAGCAAGAATCCTTCCAAAGGCAAACGGCCATCAGAACACTTTCGAAAACCGGCGGCGCCCTTGGCGGCAATGACCCTTTTCGGTATGTATACGGGTTTGCTGCCAATAAGCGGGTTTGACGAACTGGAGAGTAGTTTCGCATCCTCGGCAGGTTTTGCTTTCTTCTTCTTCTTTTTGTCCCCTCCGATCACTCGGTTATAAGATATCTGTGGGCCTAAGGAGTAGGGATCCTCATCATCCGAGCCTGTATCATTCAGCACACCGACGCCAAACGCCCCGCGTCGGGGTTCTTTCGCCTTGGGCTGCTTCGGCTTCCCCGGAGCCATTAGCCGCTTTCCAAAGAACGAATCGTTATCCTCATCGTCGGACTCGTCCGCTTTGGTTTGCCGAGCGTCTAGGCGGGCCTCTCCTTCGAATCCAAGGCCCTTATGATCGGTTTTATGAATGAAAGCAACCATTGGCGGGTTTTCGGGCGCGAAGAGGTATGTTTGTTCGGCTCCTCCATCACGTTGCAACAGACCGTCCCCGAGGTCAGCTCTACGCCGCACCTTGGGCCCAATTCCCTGGCCTTCTCGCCATCCCATCCTCTTCAGCAGTTTCACACCCATAGTTTCTCCGCTCGTTTTCAGGAGGTCCATCAACCCTCCGCGGCGCGCCAATTCGGCATCTGTAGAACCAAAGCCGGAGTACTCATCGGCGGTTTGCAGTCTCTTGGACTCTTCCGCTTCCCGAACATCCTCCTCGTCCATAAAATCTTCTGGTCGCTGTTGTCGAACATCCTTGGCGCGGTTCTGGCGCGAAGACACAAAGGTTGCTGGAGTCCATCCTTCCTTCGACCCGACGGTGTTGAAGTACCTGAAGATGGGCCGCCTTTAGTGTGCTGTCCAACGCTATACATGGATCGTGAGCTCACCCGGCACTGAATCCACCGGTGAAGGCACCATGTAGGCGTTTCCTTCCCCGGTCATCGGTCACCTCCTGCTTCCAGATGGGCGCATATGATCCGTCGTCGCGCACGCTATCGTCCAATGGGGGCAATGGAGTTCCGTATAACGCGTAAGGAGACTGGCGCGCCTGCAAGTCTGCCTCGAAGGCGGCGCGGCTCCTTTTACTGGCCATGGTAAAGGTGCAGCTCAAGGGTGCAGCATGGCTATTTCTGACGTCGACATATCATCAGTGTCTGTAGTGTAGATCCTACGCGGATGAAGTGGACTTACCACTACTTGTATATTTGGTTGTCCACCTGGTGAGTGATCGAATGGAAGAGCACTAGAATGGTGACTTGGAAGGAAGCGGAAACAAGCAGACACCGATGATGATGAACGGTGCATGACAAGAAGCCGCGGGCGGAAGACATGTGACAAGGCGGACATGGAAAAGGCGTGTGCACCGCCACGTTTCTATGTGGCTGGAAACAGTAACTGCAGCAGTACCTCAAAAGTACCTACTAAGCACCTGGCCAGATTTAATGTTTATCTGGAACACATTCTATTCCTTCATCGTTGTGAATCATGAGATGTGTCAACAGATGTGAAAGAAATGATATTATATCAGGCTACATGTGTTGATCTTGTTCAGCTGGACAATTAATTAATAGTGGTATTTGAAGAGACCCTAACAATATATATTGTTAGTGCTACGGCGGTACTACTAACTAAGTTGCTAGTAGTCTGGCTGTTCTCGGATTAACCGCGAGATTGAAAATGAGGGCCACGGGGGCGGATGACAGATCCAACATCAGCATCCGAAAACAGAACGAGGGCATCTGATGTCCACTTCTGCGACCGAACGTGCTTGGCAGATAAATCTGGGCTCATCCGACCAACTTAATTTGGACCGTCCAGCAGGTTGAAATTGTCAGGACCCAGCATTGATGATGATGATGATGAGTCCCTCGGCCAGGTGATCATGCCCATCCGTGCCCAAAACACCGAAAGTCCGACGTATCAGAAGGTCTCGTTCCACCGGCGGTCGGAGAAGAAGAAGGAGTAGTTGTCAGGGTCCATGATCCGACCTGTAGGGGTGAGGTGAGATTGATGAAAGTAGACTATTGCCTGGGAGGCAACCACTATGTAATTCAATATAGTAATATAGTAATCTCGGACTGAGAACGTGCATGCAGCTGTCTAATTTGTACCGGGAGGGAGGGGGGAAAAGAAAGTAGACAGGAATGGAATCCCCGTCGATAGAGAAAATGAAGGGAAAGAAAGAGTCAGTAAGAAGAAAAAGAAGTAAGGTAACGATAAATATCTTACAGATAAAGATGAGTGGATGGAAATTGCAGTTTCCATTTCCCCTGCGTAACTCGATGCAATCGCCCTGGTGATTCCGCCAGAATCCATGCAGCAGCAAGCAAAATACGAGAGAAGGTCGCATGGGGCATCATTTCCTCACTTTCCCGCTCTTGACTCTCACGGACGGACTCTCACCCTCCTTCTACTCCTCCTCCTCCTCTTTCCCATTTTCTCTCTTTAATTATCTACTCTCCTCTCCAATCCCCAATTCACTCTTCAACATGAAGAAGAAGTACATCTTGCAGTTTTATTTTTAAAATAAGCAAAGCCAAGCAAGACCCTTCATTTCCCTTCATACATTCTTGGCCTAGCAGAGTGCAGCGGAGATCAGAGACATTATTCGGGATATCCCCTCTTTTCTAGTGTGTCTTCCGGGAACTGCTATTCCTGGCTGATTTCTGGCTGGGCTTGTCCGGTCCTGGTCTGGTCTGGTTTCTGGCTTTTCTCCGCAGCTGCCAGCCGCAATCCCAGCGTCAATCCAACAAACACTCAGTACTCAACTCAGTACTAAATGTAGTAGTAGTAGTACTACAACCCAGTCCGTTCCCACATTTCTCTTGTCTTGTCTCTTTTCTGCATTTCGCAAACTCCCCTTGTCCATTTCTCATTTCCCTTATTTTCTTTCCCACCACCCCCCTTTCACTCTTTTTTTTTTTCTCTTACTTACTCACTCTATTTGTGGGTGGTGTCTATTCACTCCTTTCTCCTATTTCTCTCCCCCCATCAGCTCCGCTAGTAGTGGTGCCCCGTCCCTACTACTACTACTACTCCTCTCCTCACACCAACCCACATCTCACCCCCCCTAATTTCTAGGCCTTCCGAAAATACATGGGGGAGGAGTGTGTCAAGCCGTTTCGCTGGAGACTGGACGTACCCACGCAGGCTGTCGCTTCCCTCAAAGTTGCTCCGTCAGCCAACGCCATCTCCCCCACTCGCTCCCACTTGCTCCCCGACCGGTCCTCTGGCCTCCCTTTGGGCTGCATCCCGCCCTCACGCGAAAACCTCCCCTCGATCACCAAGCGATCTTAGTAGGGTGGATGAAGCGCGCTGAATCGTGGTTGGCTCGGAACTCCTCGTCAATTTCGTGCCCATCGTGATGTCCACTGCTGCTCCTCCCACTGCGTCACCCTCCGTCGTCCGAAGCCAGTCCATCTCCTCTCGCTCCTCTTCCCATCGCCCTCCCTCGTCTGATCTCCCTCACCGAACCCGAAGTGTCGCGGTCCGTCCCGCGACTGCCTCCCAGCCATCTCCGCAGCATCACCATCATCATCACTCGCAGAATCGCTATTCCCATTCCTACTCCAAGTCTCAGTCCTATGATCGTCGCCCTCCCTCGAACCAAGCCGTCTTCGACAACATAGCCCGTCGCGATTTTGAAGCCTCCAGGGGTGCCCAACCCGTTCCGTTCCGTCGGGACTCCTCCAGGGAGCGTTCACAGGAGCGCCCCTCCACCTCCTACCGCTCCGAACAACCTTCACACAAACAGCACCGGAATCTGTCGGCACACGGTCATCAACGGGATAGCATCGACATGGCTACCGCGGGGCCCGTCATGGCGGAGGGTGTCGCGGGACATTCGCAGGCTGCTGCCGGCGCCCACCTGCACCCGACCAACTCCGTACAAACAAAGCGTCGCACGATGATCACAACCCCGTCGGGTCAATGGGCTTTGGGTAAAACACTGGGAGCCGGCAGTATGGGCAAGGTCAAAGTTGGAAAGAACATGGACACTGGTGAGCAGGTAAGTGATTCAATTTGCGGCCTTGAGATTCTTTCCATTCTATTTACTAATTCCATGCAGGTGGCCGTTAAGATCGTCCCCCGGCAATCCACGGAGGAACACCGCAGCTCGCGCGAAGCCGAAAGAGCTGATCGCTCCAAAGAGATCCGAACCGCCCGCGAAGCGGCCATTGTCAGCCTCGTCAATCATCCGTACATTTGTGGTATGCGAGATGTGGTGCGAACCAATTACCATTGGTACATGTTGTTCGAGCTCGTCAATGGGGGCCAGATGTTGGACTACATCATCTCCCACGGCAAGTTGAAAGAGAAGCAGGCTCGGAAGTTCGCCCGTCAAATCGCCAGCGCTTTGGATTATTGCCACCGCAATAGCATCGTGCATCGTGACCTGAAGATCGAGAACATCCTGATCAGCAAGACTGGCGACATCAAAATCATTGACTTTGGTCTGAGCAATCTATTCTCCCCAAGAAGCCTTCTCAAGACATTCTGTGGCAGTCTCTACTTCGCAGCTCCGGAATTACTACAGGCTAGACAATATACCGGACCGGAGGTGGACGTATGGAGTTTCGGAATTGTACTCTATGTTCTGGTCTGTGGCAAAGTGCCTTTTGACGATCAGAGCATGCCCAAACTTCATGCCAAGATCAAGCAGGGTGTGTTCGAGTACCCGCCCGGGCTCACAACAGGTTAGCTGATCCCTTGTCATATTCACCTACGTAATGCTAATGCTTCATTGTAGAATGTCGCCATATAATATCGCGCATGTTGGTAACCGATCCCAAGCAGCGTGCCAGTTTGGCAGAGATAATGAATCACCCATGGATGAACAAGGGCTTCAATGGGGCTCCCGACAACTACCTCCCATACCGTGAGCCGATACAGCTCCCCTTGGATCCGGAGGTGGTCGAGAAAATGACCGGATTTGATTTTGGATCCGCGGAATACATTACAACACAACTCACCAAAATTATCGAGTCGGAAGAGTATCAGCATGCTGTAAAGGCCATGGCTCGTGACCAACCTCCTCCTAGCCATACCGAGAAGAAGCGCGGTGTGTTCGACTTCTACAAGCGACGAAACTCGGCCAGCAGAGACACACTGTCCGCTCCCTCCGCCGAAGCTGTTCAGTTAGGCAACGATCCGGTTAATGCCTATAGTCCCCTGTTGTCGGTCTACTACCTGGTAAAGGAAAAGCTTGACAGAGAGCGGGTCGAAGTTAACCCTGGTGCGCTGGGTGTTCCGCACGCTAGCGGGGACTCGATGCTCCAAATGCCAGACCTTCCTGCGCCAGAGGCCGCTCACACCAACCAATACCACGTTCCTGGAGAGAAAGACACTGGGAGAAGGTCTCGTCCTAGAGCAAGGACCCATGGTGACGATGATCTCAATGATGGGATCAAGAACCTTCATCTGGCCCCGCAAGCAGGGCACTCTCCTGCGCCTCCTGCGTCGCAGCCGGAGACTCCGGTGAAGAAGGAGAGTACGGCAGCAGGTATTCTAAGGCGGTTCAGTACGCGAAGGACCAAGGAGCGCAGCCGCGACCCGGAACGCGGCAGACTTGGAAGCCCACATACGCCTTCCTTGAATGTCCAGCCCCCAGCCGACTCAGCCTCGCCTCTTTCCAGGGGCTTTAGCGTTAAGAGGACCCGTCGTGCGGACCCGTCGCCGACAGCCGTTCACACGGGTGGTAGTCAACCACAGCACCAGGATCTTCTCAAGGCTCCAGGACCTGCCGAGCCGGCCTCGCGGTCCAACAAGTTTCTGGAGAGATCTGCAAGTGTGAACTCGGCAGACTACCGAGCTCGCCGCTCTCGCAGACACGAAGCGGATACAGCGGCCCAGCCACCTCCAACTAGCGGCTCCGACTATGCGAACGTGCAGAAAGAAACCACTCCCGGAAAGGAGGCCAAGTTGACCCGTACACACACAGCCCGGACAATGTCACTGGGTCATGCCCGACGCGAGAGCATCCAGGCTCGGAGGGCCAGACGGGAAGCAACGCGCGAGGCCAACGTCCCTGAGGAGACTGATGCGGATATATCGGGCGCCGGTACGGCACTTGAAAGTGCCAACGAAGGAGAGGACCTCTCCAAGCCGGTGTACCTGAAGGGTCTCTTCAGTGTTTCAACAACCAGCAGCAAACCCCTGCCAGTCATCCGGGCTGATATCATTCGGGTATTGAAACAGCTCTCTGTGGAATACGTTGAGATCAAAGGCGGCTTTAGCTGCCGCCACGCACCGAGCATCGACCTGGACAAAGTAGTAGACGTCGGACCCCCCAGCCCAGACCGTCAGGGACAAGTTTCGGGCCATCGTCGCCGCATCAGCTTTGGGGGCTTTTTGAACCATGATGAGCGAGACGAATCGCGACACTACACGCCTCGGGGCCAGCGTCGGACTCGTGCTCCACCGGATCAAAGTTTCGTGACAGACTCTGAAGGCCCCGACGAAGATGATGGCTCTCGGGACCACCGTGACAACGTGTTGGTGGGCGAACGTGTCATGGGAGAGACTACGACCCGGGTGCAGAGTGATACGGGCGAGAACCTGGTCCTCCGGTTCGAGATTCTGATTGTCAAGGTCCCGCTGTTCTCGCTGCATGGTATCCAGTTCAAGAAGGTTGCAGGCGGTATGTGGCAGTACCGGGAAATGGCCAAGAAAATCCTGGACGCATTAAGACTCTGAGAGTATTGTGAATGGGGCGCCTGCACGCAGATTGCATATTATTTTACTCGGGCCAATCGGCTTGAACCATGAGCATTTGCATGAGCATCACGTGTTTCTTTTGTTCCTTTACGTTAACTTTCGGTCTGCATAATCCTTGAGCTGGCTCATCGTCCCCGGTAGCGGTTTGTCGTGGTGTACATTAGAACCGAGCAGGATGCATCATGGATTTCCGTCAGTTTTCTTCCTCCCAAGTCGTTCAACCCTTGACCTGTTGTATAATTTCTGGGCTGTTTTCCTATGTCAGAGTTCTGTCTCTCTGCAGGACTATGGAGCGTTACCATGCGTAGGAATGTCGGCCCTGTTCGAGTCACATTGAAGGTTATGATATAGGTAGATTTGATGGCAGTCATAATACTCTGGTTCGTTGGCCATTTACCTGTGTCAGCGTTTACCTACAACTCCAAAGCAACTCCTACAGTGTAGAGACCTGAGACCCGAGACCTTGCCTGATGTAGATTAGGATGCTTGTAATATTACTCCAGAGTTCTGGTACCAATTCCGTGGTACGCTATAGTAGCAGATGCTAGCCAAAAGTAAGAACCTTCCTAAGCAAACAACATCTACTGTCTTGTCAAGCCCTGTATATGGTTTGTTTGACTGTCGATTCTAAACAATACACCACTAGTATATATACTTAGTCTTGGTCAACTAAATGCAATCTGATAGACCCACTAAGTTCATAGCCCAACGCTCATCTACAAGATGCCGATCAGGAAGCGGAAGCCAGATTATGCAGTTGCCAGCAGCCAGTTGGCCCTTTTAGCGTGATGCCGTAGGGTTTAGCTTGGTTAGTCTAGAGACCGAAAGGACGCTAAGAGGAGAAGTAAAGGGTGTTGTGCACTGTCTAAGTATTATTACATGGCATAGTACTTTCATGACCAGATTAATATACCTTATCCTGAAGTCTATGTAAGTTTGCACCGTTCTCGAGTCTGAAGAGGAACTTATAAGTGCCAATCGTCTATAACTAACCATGAACCATGTTTCAACATGATTAGTCATGGCGCGGATGACATGCCAAGAAATAATGCCACAGGCATAAAAGAAATAATTAAAGCCAATTTGAATCGCTCTACTGTCTTTACTAGAGTGTTTATTTAGGACTAATTTATCAGAGATGATTTGGGATATATTATTCTATATGTTTATATGGTTTTATTACTTATTTTCGAATATTTGTGGTATGTGCTGTCCTGATGCTTTTTTGCCTGTATTTGTTGTTTTGGCTGGGCGGAATTAAGCAAAGATAACACGGTTACCCCCCTTATATGGTTACTCTCTCAATACTCACCCTTATTGGCCAGATTAGAATTGCTCGATCTCTCTATCAAGTGGTTTTCTGATACCACGAGTTAGCATAGCAGCAGAAGTTCAGGATAAGGTGTAATTTAGGTCACATCTCCTTTATATTGTAAGTATTGAAATATCAATTTGTCAGTTATATTGATCTAGAACTGTAATGTTTGATAGCTAAATACTTAAAACTGATTAATTTATAAATCACCTGACTTATAATTTCCTAAAATAGCCTAGTCTTATTTTAATTCACTCCTAACTCCAAGACTTGATTTTATTCTAAAGATCATCTTCAGCAGCCACCAGTCTCATGTCTCCTATCAGCGTGTCTTTCTTGTGATAGTTTTATACCCATGAATTTATTGTCTACCTTAGCGCCTGTTAACACTCCCACCATGGTTATCGATCTTACGCTTGACTCGGACTCCGAAGAGAGGAATGAGGTGAGCTGCTCTTTTACGCATTTCCGCTTTTTCATGTTTGGTTGGTGTCGTGTTATCTGGTGTTGTTCGTGCGGCTAGTTGTCTATTTAGTTTGTGAGTTAGCGGCTATACTGCATGCATGCATGGATGTTTTCTGTTGTGAAAACTTATACAAAAGCCACAACATCTCTTATTTTCTTTTCTTTTTCAATCTCTCAAAAGAAACAATATCTCACAGTCTCACACTTGATTTCTTTTCTGTTATACTTGAGAATCGAGACATGTTCTTGTGACCTTAACAATTTCGCTTCACTTCATTCACTGCACCACTGCTGCTATAGTTCGTGAGAGGATCAGCTGACTTGATACATCCAGAATCATGTGCCATCGTCAGCACCACCTCTTCAGAATAACATTCCCAAGTCCCCTTCTACTCTCACCCACCGCCCTGCATCCTCAGTTCCCTCAAAAAGAAAGTCTGAAGATGTAGATGAACTACTGGCATCCTTCCTGCCCCGCCGGCCGCAGTCACAGCCACGGTCTTTTTCCCAACCACAACCAACTAACCGGGCCAATCAGCACGCCATCTCTATCGAAATAGATGATGACGATGAAGATGCAGACGTCAAGCCTGTTCAGATTCACCGCCGAGTGCCAGCCGCTCGATCCTCTTCCTCTAACCCCAACACTGTTTCCTCTGCTGGCAAGGAAAACAGACTTCTGCAGATCAAGTCTAATGCAACATCTACTCGTTCATCTTCACCCATCACTCTCGCAGCTACCAAACAAGATCCCCGCCGCAGCCAAGACGGGGATGAAGACAGAAAGCAGAGTTCCCTCCTAAGCACTCGCCGGTCCCTTTCATTCCAAACCCCTAGTCCCGGCCCCATATCTCTCAGCGTAGTAATCCCCTCGCCTTCTCGGCGCCAGCAACAGGAACTCGATTTAGCCGACGTGATCTCGGTCCCATCTCCAATCGGTCTCTCCGAGGACTTCTACCCCACCGACGCATATGAGAAACGCGCCTTGAAGGGTGCATACCCCGTGGCCCGGAAAGTGGATCGAGCAGCCATTCCATTCACTATCGGCACCCCTGGCCCACTGCTCACATCTAAACCGGACATCAGCGCCCAGCTGCACCATACCCTGCAGCAGAAGCTCGCGAAGATCCGAGGCCCCAAAGTAACCTTTGCATCGGGGGACCAGCACCAGCTAGCGCACTTCGCAGCCAACTTTGAGTTTGTGAATGCGTATAAGCTACGACAAGGAGTCACGCCTGTTCCAGAGGAGTTCCTTGCGGGATGTAGCTGTGACGGGTTCTGCGATCCAGCAAGATGTCTCTGTCTCAGCAAGGAAGAGGAGACGAATGACCCAATGGTGCCGTACAAGCGGGCCGGTGATGATGGGCGATTGCTGGTGCTTACGCCGGAGTTTCTGAAACGAAAGGTCATGATCTACGAATGTAGTTCAAGATGTGGATGTGATGAACGCTGCTGGAATCGAGTGGTGCAAAATGGCCGGACGGTCCGACTGGAGATTTTCTGGACCGGTAACCGAGGGTTCGGTATGATCCTTCCCCAGCTCATACACAAATCCTACAAATATAGTACTAACGAAGAAGGAAAAAAGGCCTCCGCTCTCCCGACCCCATCCGCGCAGGCCAATTCATCGACTGCTACCTAGGGGAAGTAATCACCAAAGAAGTAGCCGACATCCGCGAAGACGCAACAGCTCAAAAAGGCCCTTCATATTTATTCAGTCTTGACTTCCTCGCCACCGGCGAAGACAGCAAATACGTTATCGACGGACACAGGTTCGGCAATCCAACCCGTTTCATAAATCATTCGTGCAACCCGAATTGTCGCCTGATTCCCGTGACTCGCAACCACGCCGACGATTACCTGTACGACTTGGCTTTCTTTGCGCTTAGAGATGTACCACCCATGACGGAATTGACGTTTGACTATAATCCCGGCTGGGAGAAGGTCAAGAAGGTTGATCCGAATGCTGTGCCTTGTCTTTGTGGGGAGAGTAATTGTCGTGGTCAGCTTTGGCCGAATCAGAGGAAGGCGAAGAGGGGGTGATTTCCTTTTCCACTTCTTTCATTCACTTCACTCTGCAATTTTTCAGCCTTACAGCCCTCTTGTCGATTTCATATTATGATATGATATGGAATCATATGCATCGCATAGGAGTGCGCGTTGAGTCGATGGTCAGCAATATTGATTGCATTGTGCCTGCTTCTATTGTTGAGGTCAGGTAAACATGCCATTATCCCTTTCTTCCTTGCCCCCATGGTGTTCTTAGGCATCTTCCTGCGTTCTTGCCTCGCATTGCATATTAATTCTCTGGGGAAGAGGGTTCAACATACTCCGTTGCTTGTTCAAATTTTTACATGTGACTTTCTTCGTCTTGTCTTGATATCAGATACCCCGGTGGTTTCAATTTACATCTTCTTTCCCCCTTTTACTTTCTATTTGAAAATTACGGAGTTCTGTGTGTGTGTACACTGGTGGCTTTCAGAGAAGTAACAAGTTGTTACTGTATTTTAGCATTCTGTTGTATTCCATCTCATGCTGAGATGCAGAAGATAGATGGACTGAAGCAAGGAAGCAAGCAAATTGAAGGGAAGAAATGTTCATTATGTATGCTAATCTGCAAGATATGCAGTGCATTCATTGTCCTGAATGATATGTCCATAGCAGGAGATTTAATCAGATAATCAGATTCAATGAGAATCATTATCAAAGGATAGAGAAATAAGATAGTAGCAATCAAACACGCAACAAACCCTCTAAACAGAAATAATGCAAAGTGAACTCCACTCCACTCCACTCCAACCAAACAGAACTTAAATCACAATTCACAACTCACAAGGTATCCGCCAATTCCAATTCAATCAATAAAAATCAAGTAAACCCGCTCAAACCCAAACAAAGCCAACAACCCTAAGTAGTACTCCATCCATCCTAAACCCCAATACCATCACCTATTCCCCAATAAAGCAATCCATAAACTAATCCTAGGGATCAGAATCACCCCCTTCCCTCCATAACCTCAAAAATCCCGCCCATCACAAACCTCGGCTGGGAACCACTCCTCTCCAACACGCCCCCATCGACCGCCCCAAAAACACTATCATCCATACTATCCAACGCAAACCCCACTCCCAATAACGGATCCACGGGTCTCGGCTCCATCAAATCCAATCCCAGCCGCTCAATCTTATCCTCATCGGCACGGGATCGCTCCTCCGAGAGGGCCAGATCGACCTTTGAGGGCCGTCGCCGTAGCAGCATCATCGACATGGATGAGGGGCGGTGGTGGTGGTGGTAGTACCGGAAGGGACTTTGGCTGCGGCTGCGATTATTACTACTTCTGCCATAGTAGAAATCTTGGCCATAGTTGTAGTCGGAGAGGGAGGTGGTGTTGAGGCTGCCGATAGCGTTGTTGTAGTAGTGGTTATTGTTGAAGCGACGGCGGCGGGGAACGGGAGAGGAAGTGGGCGAGGAGGTGGGACTGGCTGTTGTGGAGCTGAGTGGAGTTGGGGTGGTGGATGGGATGGAGAGAGTGACGGAGAGGGATGGGGAGGATGGACCACCACCACCGCCGCTGGGGTGGTTAAGGGTGGTTGAGGTGGATGGAGGGTGTGGATGGGGTGGAATTATTGTTGATGTTGCGTGTGTTGTGGTGGACATTTTGTTGTTGCGGTCGGATGGTGATGATGACGAAGGGAAAGAAGTGTGGAGGTGGAGGGGGGTGGGTTGGTTAGGGCGCATTATTGGTTTGATTGTGAGGATCAGATGAGGATAAGTAGATAGATAGGTGGAAATGAGAATGAGGATGTTCTGAGGGAAGAGAAAAGAGAAAAGAGAGAATAATAATAATAATAAAGTAAGATGGATAAAATAAGATGAGATGATGTCAGGTGGGTGCGGGCTGACCGACAATATGAATAATAAAGTAATTAAGATTGACAGATAAAAATCAATAATGTATGGGATGAGATTGGATGTTGATTGATTGAATTCAATAGAACAGAGAGAGATTCGGAGGGAAAATTAGATCGAGTCAGGTGGTCCCGTCGGGTTTCGCCTCACCAAAGCAAAGCTAAGCTGGCAAAAAGAGATGTGGGGAGACAAATTAGGATCAGGTCAGGTACAATAATATCAAGAAGCAAATATTAGTTGGTAAGTAAGTAAGTAACTGAAGAGTTGAATGACGACAATAACGTCAGAGGAAGGGCTAGTCAGTCACGCCTCATTGTAGTTAGCATCAAGAACTGAACAAGAAACAGCCAGAAGGAACTAGAGCAGCAGCAGCAGCAGCGGCAGCAGTTAAACCTTCTTATAACTACAACCCAGGCAAGAGGCCAGTTAGTAGGGGCTCTATTTGCATTCAAATCATACAAAAGCGGCAGGCAAGGAAGGAGGAAAAGGGAAAAAGTAGAAGAGTTGTGGACTGGGGATAAAGATGATTGAACGAGGGCGACTCAGCAAGTCGCCGAACGCAGTGACGCTTTCCCTTTTCCTCGCCCCCCTCGTTGCTGCATCCGGCCATCTAAACCATCTTTCTTATCCCTTCCGATAAACCTCTCCTGCTTTGGCTTTCCCCCCCGCCTCCCCTTCTTTTCCGCCTGCGGACATTTCTGTGTTTTTCTCCTTCCTTGTCTTTCATCCTTATACATACGTGTTCGTGCCTGCTCTCTCCCTACATCCGGATTTCAAAAACCCAACCTTCATCGTTGCCCAATCCGGTAATGCCAAGCATCCTGGAAAGCCAAGTTCATTGCTGAATATTAACCAATCAATCATCATCTTCTTCTATCTATTCCTCTCTCTTTGTACTTTCTAGCTGGAAAAAGAAAAGAAGGAAAAAAAACTGTACACATACACATACACATGATGTAAAACGCATGGATGAACTGACCTGCGCTCGGAACCAAGTAACGCAGTGGTTTTTCGCCCACACGCCCCCGCTATGCAAAACATCTAGTCTCGTAGCGATCAACAACTCTCCCTCTCTTCCCCTCTCTTCACTCACTGACAGATCACACAGACCAGCAAATGGATCACCCAAAAACAAAACAGACAGACAGTAGATGATGGATGCATCGTAACATCGAGAACGGCACGGCTAGTAAGTATGAGGAAAGGGATAAAAGCAAGACACGCCAAAAAACAGGAGTGGACCAAATACACATAAAGAGAATCAACCAAGAAACAAAACCAAGGGTGCGAATTTGAAATCATCCCCATGTTCATATCTCTAATTAGAAAAAAAACCAAAGGGTGCGAATTTGAAATCATCCCCATGTTCATATCTCTAATTAGAAAAAAAAACCAAATCGTGGCAACATCGCTCATATATCAACCAACTCATCTATTCTCTCACTCCCCCGATCGCCGTCGCTGTGTGAAGCTGCGTCGGATACTCTCTCCCCACACCGACTCGCCCAGCGACTGCATAACATCGTTGACGTTCATCGCGCTGTTTTGCCGCGAATGTGCCGGGCTTGCCTGCTCATCGTGCACATCTCCTCCGCTGCCGTATGACGACGTTGTGCCAGCCCGCTCCCGCAGAGGCGACAGCGATGGGCTGATGCTGGACCATTCCGTCGCCGGGGAGTTCAGGACAGAGATCCGACCCAGCGGACTGGTATCGATGGGCGGCAGCTGGTACCGTGTGGCTCGCCCGGTCGGGGACGTCGGGGACAGCATCGGCTGCTGCGACGATTCTTCTCCAGTCAGCGCGTCGCGTGCTTGTTCTCGTGGTCCCTCGGTCGCCGCCGGTTCGTCGTGGGATCCGTCATCAATAAAGATCTCCGGCACCGAGAACTGAGGAACACCGCTCATCCGGGCCGACTTCTTATGCTCAACCCGGCGCCGGAACTCGCGAGACCAATACAGTGTGTCAAAGAAGCCGATCACCGTCTGCCGACGGATGGTTTCCTCGACACGCTGCAGTCGCGCCCGTCTGCGCAGGAACTCTTCCAGTCGCAGACTCTTGCTGTCACTGATCACGTTGTAGTGGGCCAAGATCATGAGACAGGAGTGGAACGAGATACCGCGCACCGGGTCTGCCGACACAAGTACCTCCTCATAGAACGCGTTCAGCCGTTGTCGGCGGTTGCGCACCACGTCCGTTGGGATCTGTCGAAGGATTCTGGCCATCTTGTCCAAGTCCAGCCCGTCGACCACTCTGCGATGCGCAAGCAGCGAGTCGCGCTTGTCAACCCGGCACTCTTCCATGATTTGGCCGATAGTGAACTCGCCATCGTAGATCCGCATCGAAAACACCCCCGAGAGCTCTCCCAGCAGTCGCGGAAACTGTTCTTTGGTGATATACCCGGTTCCGTCCGGGTCATATGTAGCCCACGCATGCTTGAAACGGCGGATATCCTCACGACTGATCGCATAGAGTCCACTGCTCTTCTGGTACACGTAGGAAAAGCTCTCAAAGATCAAGGACGTGAACAAGGATACGAAGAGGTACATGCTAATAATGTTCCAAGCAATGAAAAGTGTCCGAGCCCACGGCGCACTGCCACAGTCGTCTAAGAAAAAGTTACCATCGTAGGTGCACATCGGAGGACTCATCGTGGCATAGTCTTCCATGATTTCGTTCCAGCCTTCTCCACAACTCATCCGGAAGAGCAGCACCAGCGCCTTGGGAACATCGCGGAAGTTGAGGTTGTCGGTCTCTTGTGAACCAAACTTCGTGAGACCAAAGGCTTGGTTCATGGCGATCGCAAACACCAGGAAGAGGACAAACCACGTGGCGATGAGGTTTCCGATCGAGGTCAGACTCGCCGCGGCGGTTTTGAACAGCTGATCAAGCTGGTTGTTTCGGGGAATAATAAGAAGCGTGATCGAGACCAAGAAGAGCTTGTTCAGTTCGTTGATCACCTGGCTCGACGAGACGAATCTCAAGATCGTCGTGATGAACGTTCCGGAGACAGAGAGCAACGAATACACATCCCATGAACTCCGGCTAAACCGATGCCAACCCAAGCCAAGCATCCGGATCAGAACATTGGCAATGTAGACGAAGTTGAAAACAAAGAATATGATCTCTGTACCATATTAGCGGAACAACTCGTCTGAAAGCCATAGGAAGAACAACGCACCTCGGGTTTGATCCCATACCTCCGGCTCGGGATAGTATTCCAAGACCAGCAACAACAGATGAAGTGAAAGGATGAAAGTCACGCATCTTGCCCATGGACCATGTTTTTTGACGGCGACTCGGTAACTCCACATCTTCCATTGTCGGCTCTTGTTGTCGAAGGAGCGCTTTGAAGGGGAGATTTGCCGGAGCAACTTCCTCAATTCCAGCCATGATCGCTGTTCAGCAGTAAGATACGCTACACCAGTCTCTTCTGTATAGTTCCGCATGAACACAGATACGAACAGCGTCAGGACGAAGACGGCACCAAGCAGGTTGAAGATGATGAAGAAGAGCCCATTCTCCGGCGCAACATAGTCCTGCGGCTGCGTATCCACACCAGTAATGCTCATAGCACTGTCCTGCACGTCGATCCAGCCTTCTTGAGAGACAATTTGGAACAGAATGAAAAGGGAATCGCCAAAGTTGTCAAAGTCGTAGTAAGAATTGTCGGCCACTCGCGGAGAGAGAACATCCCAATTGAAAGGCGTGTTGTTGTACTCACCAATGCACTGATCCAGGCTTCCTGAAATATCGCCATCATTGCATGACACCATTCGTCCGGCGAAAAGATTCACTCCATAAATAGCGAAGGGGATCAAAAAGCTCATGGAAACAGCCGCGGCCTGCCAAGCACATTAGATTCTGCCTCTCGGGCTCTAAAGGGGCGGGCGAAACTTACAGCTATGACTTTCCAGCCTCCCACAATGATCACTGAATGGAAAGTATTCTTAGCACTGTCACTGACATTCAAGAGCCTCAAAGCCCTCAGGGCCTTAAACGCTCCAATCGCTCGAGTGACACCCCAATCTTCGAACAGGGATCCACCGACGCTGATCCAGAGTGTGATCAAAACTACTCCATCAAGGAAGCCCCAGGAGCCACGAAAGTACGCATTAGGCGTCCAGAAAAACCCGTCCGCTATGACCTTGATGATAGCTTCTATGGTGAACAAGACCGCGAAGCCCATGTCAGTGTATGTAAACCAATCCCTGTTCGTCGTAAAGTGATTCTTTTGGTAGATCGGTGTGGTTATGCAGGCCAGCAACACCATTGCGACAATGGCCGCGTAAATGAAGGCGGAAAATGAATACCAGACAGGCTTGTAAGGATCTACACCCTCCACTCGTTGAACTCCACGCCCCGGCCCCACGATACGCTGGCATAGCTTCCGAACGGGGTGGTCAGGCGCAAAGATAAACAGTGACTTGTTGTAATTGGGGTGTCGCATAAGATACTCTCGTTGGGCCCTTTTCCGCTGTTCAGCCGCTGAAACAAATTCCTTGGCCATCGTCCTTGGGTCTAGCTCATCAAATGTGCGCGGGATATCCAGCTTGGAATAGAAGGGATTTGGCTCTCGACGCATGATTGACGTGGTAAACTTCGTCCAGATCCGCGAGAAGAATCCTGGCTGGGCTGTCTCAGCCGTGGCTGACTGTTCTAAAGGCACGTTGTCTCCCGGCCGGTTCTCAGGTGGTTCGTCCTCATCAAGGAACTCCTGGACCACGGCATCCTTGAGCAACATTTCCAGTGCTGCTGGGCCATGATCAAGAGGATCCTTATACCGGCTCGAGTCTTTGCCCAGCTTGAAGATCTTGGAAAGAGACAAGTTTCCCTGCGAGGCCATGTTGACTTGTTTCTGCTGCAAGAACGCTTTGACCTGCTGAAGCCGTTTCTCATCCTCCGAGACATCGAAACTTTCCTGGATGACTGCAATGAACATATTCAATACAATGAAGTTGGCCAGGATGAACCATATTATCAGGAAAGCCGCAGAGATCCAAGCTGTGTTGTACGACACTGTGTACGTGGTAGCATTATACAATATATCCGTCCAATTCTCGCTCGACAAGATTTGGTACATCCCGAGAAAAGAGTTGTAGATGTCGGCAAAAGTGATGATTATGGTATCGCCATCTGCATCTTCCTCTGGTATTTGCCCACGAAAGAGCTGAGTTGCGAAGATGGAAGCAAGGAACGTAATCAAAAAGACAAAGAAGATCAAGTTCAGCAGACCAACTGCATTGCGGAAGACGACCATAATGAGATCCCTAGTCACCTTAAACGCGAGCACGACACGATATACTCGAAGAATTTGGAAGAGTGTAAGGACATCGTACGCTCGTTCACGCTTTATTGCTGGAATCTGAATGATGCACGTTATTATGACAAGGCCCAGATCGACCCAATTCCGCGTTTTCTTGTGGAACGTGCGCCAATCCGAGGCAAATCGTAGGATGATTTCGAAAAGGAAGACGAAAGTAATGACAAGTTCTGTGGTGTCAATAAATTGAGCCCGATCATCGCTCATGGAAGCGCTCCTCATAGCCTGGACGACAAGATCAAAAATGATAATGCAAACCCAGAGCCACTCGGTCTTGTCATAGAGACGCTTGATCGCACTGACCTTCCGAGAGGCCAAATCCTCTCTTTCAGTCGTGTCTATCTTCTTAACCGCAAAGGCACTGCGCTGGCTTTCTTCTCGGATGACCTGAAAAGCGTGGGTGATCACTGCAACCAGCAAATTGACCATCCACAAACTCAATATGAGAAGCCCGCATATAAAGAAAAGTGAAGAAGCAAGATAATCGCTGTCGGCAGTATAGTAGAGTAGGTCGGTGAAGGTGTTCGAGCTCATGATTACAAACACAAGCTCCAGCGAATTCACGATATTGTCAAAACTCAACGTCCCATTGTAGGGGTTGTCTCCTTCAAGACAAATGGAGCCTGCAGGACAGATGTAGCCTTTGGGAGAAGATGAACCGAAAGTATTATCCTTCTGAAGCCAAGGCATTTGTAGTCCAGTGGTCGAATTGACGTAGCCTCCACAGAACTGTAAGGAGCCGTTTGGATCATTCTGTGCGTAATCGCTTTCACCGTCAACGCCAAGCCAGACACAGGTTCTCCGAAAGCTTGACTTGAAGCTTTGGATGCCGACGATAGCAAACAAAAGCCAAAAGAAGCCGATAAGGAACGCTACATGCGCAAGCAATGGTGCTGCTTTTTTCAGACTGCGCAGGATAACCTTGGCTCGAATGTCAGTAAACGACGTGGCTAAGTGTATTCAAAAGAGAACTTACAGAAGTACCATTGGTCAGGTTCAGGAGACGAAGAATTCGAAGACAGCTCAGCATGCTGAACACATAGAGCTGCTGGCGAGTCTCGACTCCATAGATTGAGAGGAAGAACGACACCCAGTACGATACTAAGGCGACGAAATCAAGCCGATTGAACGAGTGCCGCAGGAAGGCACGGTGGGCTAGTCGCACGCGACTCTTCTGGAGGGGGTCATCGGCCAATTGATTCTCCAATTGATTCAACCCTCCCGTAAAAGTTCGTATAATGGAAGCCTGGGGCTGTTCTGACATGGCAGACTTCCGCACTGAGAACTGCCGCTGTGGTATGATCAAGTTCTTCCCTTTCTCAACAACTGCTTTTCTGAATCCCATCGAACGGTCTAGGGTGCTGTATTCGGCAGGGTTGATGATCAATCCTGACACAAGGATTTTAGCGATAATTTCGAGCGTGTAAATAATGAAGATGGCGAAGTAAGGATAATCCATGGGATTTGCTCCCCAACGGACAGCCCGGGGAAATTTCCAAACAGAGCGTGCAGATTCAATGGTCAGCAAAATTGTCTGGACCACGATCACGATCAAAATAAAGGGTTCTGTGAACGGATGGACGAGTATATCACACAACCACATCCGCAAGGCATTATCTGGGCCTAGAATACCCAGCGATTTCCCTCTCAGAGGGTTGCTAATGCCGCGCCATGCCTTATTGTCCGATGGCAATTTCTCTCCAGGAGCTGAACTGTTCAACGAACTGGTGGACGGCGCATCATGCGCATAGTCTGGCAAAGATGGCAGTGCCGGAGGCTCTTCCATTCGCGCATTCCTATGCGATTCCTCCCTGAGGATCGATTGTTCCACCACTTCAGGTTCGTTACTAAGGTTAACAATACGCTGGGACATCGACTTCATCATGGAACTGGCCCGCATCAAGGCAGATCCGGAAGCCGAGGGGGACAGCGATCGCGACCTGTCCGCTGCATTGCTTCCTCCGCGGGATCTCCCCACGAAACCACCCTCCAGATTGTGTAGATCGTCACCCAGTCGTGACCCCGAATGACTGGTAGCAGGAAATTGAACCGAATTTGTACCGCCCTGATCATTCTGATGTCCATTGTCTGAGCCGGATGCTCCGCTTATGGGCTGGACGTTTTGTGTCTCCGTTAACCGTGCGGTGTCGTTGTAGGTATCGATGTGGGCGAGATAGTGTTCGGCTCCGTCGAGCGGCACGGTATCTAAGTCAACACTGGAAGGCGCTCGACTATGAGTCGGGGCAAGAGAGGTACTGGACGAGGGGTCAAAACTGAGACCGAAGGAAGTCGCTTGAGCAAATGCCCCGGGATCTTCAATTGCGTCTTCATCTTCTTCATGGGAAATGTGAGGTTGCGGGCGCGCATTGCCCGCCGCATTGGCCGTTTCAACGGGCGAATCCACCGCTATGCGCTCATAGTTTCTCCCTGTCCGGCCCCTACCGGTCAAAGATCGGCCCAGCCTTGTCGCAACACCAGCTGGGCCTCCACGTTCATGATCTGGCGATGAGAGATCCTGCAAGGGGATTGAGTGATCGATGTGGAAATTATCGTCGTCGGGGCCGCGGTCATGGCTACTTGAAGCCATGGTGGGCAGTCGTCAGAGTGCTAACCGAAGGCAGACATCGCAGGCTGTACAGGAAGAAAAGAAAGAAGGTCAGAAGGGCCCTGGGGAGCGTTGACGACCGAGGCCAAGTAAAAGCGCGCTGGGGAAAATATGGGACAGACTCCCTAAGTAAGTTAAAGTAGTACGAAAGGGCTGACGAACTTTGGTTAAGTTAGCGGTGGCACCCCGTGCGGAAACGTGGGTAAGGATCCAATCAAGCCAGGCAGCCGTCAAGAAGCAGCGGGCATGATGGGGACAGGAACCCAAACGTGTCGACTTCCAGATCACAGTGATGATTATTATTGCTCGGTATGCGCAGCGGAGCTTTGGCTGGACGGCGCCAAAGCGGCCAAAACTGGGGCGGATTCGGCAGCGGCGGCCTCTGTATGGCCCATTGGTCAGGTTCTCTGGCCCAGTGATTGCTAAACGTCCGAGCCTTATGAATGGTCCGGGTCGAGTTCGTTCGACACACGGCCAATTATTGAGGGTGGATATGGATGGGCTCTGGCTTGGAACGGGGCTTGACTTGGGATTTTCCCCCCTGCTGCGCCCGGGAGGGGAATTATGCGCCTCCCCCCCATGATGCATCTATGTAATAATCTAAGTACGGATGACTGACATTGACTTGACTTGCTTTGTCCGGTCCCTGACAGGATCAGGATGGGGATCACTTGTGTCCACTCCCGATACGGCAATTCCATTGATATCTGTCCCACCTCTTTTGCCTCGGTGGAGGAAGAGATCATCAAGTCGGAAACTTTTTTTGCCCTACGTACTTTTCTTTTTCTTTTTTTTATTCTTGATTCAGTTTGAAATTAACGGGCGGAGTCCGCCAATACGCCACACCAGACACATTATTATTAACGGTATTTATATTACCAGTATTATCATGCTGCCTACTGACCAGTGCCCTTCTTACCCCACCCACCTCATGCCAAAAATAACCCATGACAAGTCTCTCTCTGCTTAGGAGGGGATGAGACATCCATGCAAGGCCGCTAATGGATTTCTAAAACACCAGTGGATAGTTACAGAATGGCTGGCTAAAGATAATAATAGTAAAAACGATAAGAGAAATAAAAAGAACACAATCACTGCTATTTGGAACCAATCAATCGGTGTCCATACGGTTTCCTTGAGCCGAATCCTTAACATGATCCCGAACGCCTTGGAGGAATGCCTCAACAGCATCACCACCACCCAATGGAACCCCTCCTCTACGCATAAATCCTCCATTTGCAACCGGAATTTTTAGAGCCTCGCTGATGCTCGGTAATCCACCATCTCTGATCGCCATCGTCAAACTTGCTAGACTCTGCGCAAATTGAGGTGAGTGTAGAACTTTGCGCAGAATCTCCTTCTTCTGTGTCAGTTCAAGGGATCCCAGGGCGGCTTGAGCGATGTCCGGGTCCTGATCAGCTGCCGCGGCTTCCTCGAGATCATTGTCCTGCGCCAGGAGAAGCAGCGACGGCGGCAGGAAGCTCAGGAGATTGTCAACCGTTTGTTCGTCCGCAGATTCCAAGAAGGGCAATGTAGTCGAGGTTGTAAGTAGATCTTGCAGAGTAGTGAAAGGTCTCTCGGGGTCTTGGGAATGCCGCGAGCCCCCATGCAGCGACTGCAGGAAGCTCTGCACGACAGATGAAGGATCCGAGTCAGCGGCGGCCCTGTGAGCCGAGATTGCTGGTTAGCTTGGATTCATAAAAAGGAAGTCCTATAATCGTGACCAAAATATCCGAGCATATTAAATATCTCGGCTAGTAGAGTTCAAGACTAGAGACAAATAAAACTGTCGAGATATGTACCTACGCTCTTCCACCATCGGCACCGCCCTCCCTCGATCCTTGGCCTTCCGCCCGAACATCACCGCCAGTCGCATCTGGGCCTGCTCCTCCACTGTTCCCTCCATGGTTGTGGTTGGGGTCATGGTCCACGCCTTCAACATCTTCCATAGTCTCGTCGTCATCGCCGCCCGAGGGACCGCCTCGAGGAAGGTTGGCGATCTCATGCTCTACATCCACATCTTCACCCTGGAGCAGCCCGTTGACAATCTCTCCTAGCTTAAGATCTCTTTGGCTGAACCAGCTCGGGTTTCCGTCCTCGTGCTGAGACTTGGATTGTAGCCAGAAGAGGTACCGTTGGGAGCTGGAGGAGAACTTCAAGACGTAGATACGACCATTGGTAGGTGCTGTGCTGTCGACAGGCTTGTAAGGTACAAAGCATCCATCTGAGGGAACCATTACCAGGTCGAGCTCGGGTTCCGTGTGGGGAGCAGATCTGGGGCGCCAGCAAAAGTGTACCAGCTCATCTTCGGAGTAGAGATAGATGTAACCGGGGGTGGGCTTGGGCTTGACGACGGAGGTTTCACCGGACGTCTATCAAAGAATAATTTTAGTAAGCAACATGTTGATAGAGATGCAATGAAACAGTGGCGGGCGGGAGGAAGCTTCTTATTCAACTAACCTCGAGGTCACAGATACCCGCTTTGAAGGTAATGATCGGAGCTATAGACATGGTGTAATATGGTGCAGGCTAGGGGAAGGTAGCAAAAAAAAAAGACTGTCGAAAATATACACAGATTCTCTAAGCTAGAACTTTGATGATAAGCGCACACCAACGATGCGGCAAAGAAAATGTAGGTTGTGGTTTGACGGAAGAAGCTGCTGAAGCAGTAATGTACGTCAGTTCGTCACCCGCAAACAAGTCGGCAGGTAACGTGATGAAGAATGGAGGGAGCTTGGGTTTCTGCGGAACTGGTATCTACGGGTGACCGGAAAGGCGGACGGCAAAAAAGACACGTATTCTGCCTGAGGCCACCAAAGCAGTGGTTATCGGGCTATCGCTATCAAAGGGGCGCCGAATCGGCACTAGCGCCTTTCGGCTAGGGCTCGCGTCCACACAAACTCACACTTTCCCGTCCTGGGGCGCAAGTAGCAAGTCACACATCAACTCCAACAACCACCCGCCGTCGACAACCACCACCCTCCCCCTACATTCTTTTCAGACCACCTTCGTCCCCAGCAGCCAATATGTCGGACTCTACTGTTGGCCAGACGAAGCAGTTTGGAAAGGGCCAGAGGACCGTCCCTCACCCGGCCCAGAAGGCCCAGAAATGGTACCCCGTTGATGACGAGTCGCAGCCCAAGAAAGTCAGTACTACACCCTGTGCAAAAGCCAGAAAATGAGATGGAAAAAGATGCGGTTTTGTTATGAACAAATGCGACGGGTTTGCGCTGGTCATTGGGAAAGATTGAACTTCCTTTATAAAAAAGCGGAAGGGTTGGAGGAAAAGTCAAAGATCCAGGGCCAGTGTTCTATACCGCATGAGTTGATAAGGAAATCGCATCTTGGAGAAAATGGGGCCCCGGAATTCGAAATGGGCAAGAAGGAATTGGAACAGGCATTCTGACATGGTTATTTTATATACATATAGGTCCGCAAGGCTATCCGTCCCGCTAAGGTCCGCGAGAGCCTCCAGCCCGGTACCGTTCTGATCCTCCTCGCCGGCCGCTTCCGTGGAAAGCGTGTCGTTCTCCTCAAGCACCTTGAGCAGGGTGTTCTCCTCGTCACCGGTCCCTTCAAGATCAACGGTGTCCCCCTCCGCCGTGTCAACGCTCGTTACGTGATCGCCACCAGCACCCGTATCGACATCAGCGGTGTTGACGCCCAGACCCTCGAGAAGGTCTCCGCTGCCGACTACTTCACCAAGGAGAAGAAGGCCGAGAAGAAGACCGAGGAGGCTTTCTTCAAGCAGGGAGAGAAGCCCCAGGTATGTGCACATACACACCCGTGGTTTGGCTCTTCCTCCGAGAGGAGTCCAACCTATACGGAAGTGGCCGGATGAATACTGATATAGCGATTTTTCTCAATCAACAGAAGAAGGTTGTTGCCAGCGCTCGCGCTAGCGACCAGAAGGCCGTTGACCAGTCCATCCTCGCCTCCGTCAAGAAGGAGGCTTTCCTCGGAAGCTACCTGGCCAGCACCTTCAGCCTCCGCAACGGCGACAAGCCCCACGAGATGAAGTGGTAGATGTGTGACGCGGCGGCCGCGGGTTCGGTAGTTATTGTGGAGGAGTCCTGCGAAGGGCGGCGGCTAGAAACCCCCTTTTCAATCTTTTGCAAGCAACTGGTCGAACTCCACAACCGGCACTTGCAAAAGGAAGAGGGGGGTCGCAGGAGGAAACAGCTCATGAAGTATATGTAACTCGATTCGAGCCTCATGTTTGCTTAGGATTGCGGTTTTTTTTAATGCCGAGGTTAAAAAAGGAAAGGAAAAACCGGTTGTTATTTCATACTTGATCTCCCCCCAAAACTGAACTGTCTTCCTCCAGCAATTCTGGCCGTTTGCACAACCCCCCCTTCTTGCAGTCGATAACTTTGAGCCGAAATGAAAAGAAAAAAAGAAGAATACCATTTCCAGCTGTTCAATTTTATGTTACTACACTCTGTTCACTACGACTATTCCAATTTCTTTCAATATCAGGTTCGGGCGGAAAAATATCAAAAGAATTGGCCATTTTATTATACCGACGATCCACTACTATTCTTCCGGGGTAGATCAAGTTGTAGTTGATCATTCTTATCTATGATGCATGACGATATGATAGTACTACTAGGTAGTTATACTTTGTGTGTGTTTCGACTACTGCTACCACTTATCTACTGGCAATTGGACATTGCCGCGATTCCGAATGCAACCCCAGCCCCACATGCACATTCACATTCACACTGATAACGATAACATCCAAAAAATAGTACTGGATAGACAGCAGCTCTATGAAACACCAGACCAATCCCAACCAAATCGAACCAAACTCCCTACCAGACAAGATCACCCCTAGCACGCACATAACATCAGAAATAGCATCACATCATAAAATACATGATCCATAAGCACATAACAACGAACCAACCAATCAACCCCACACACCGAAGTTATACATAACAACAAAATATATATCTCCCCCACACCGCCTCACAACAACTGCCTCAGCTTCTTCTTATGCTTCCTCTGCGTCTTCTTAGCATGCGAATCCAAAGCCTCCTGCACCTTAGCCTCAAAAATCTCCTTCCCCCTAAGAACAGGCGTAGGCTCATCACCCTCATCTTCTGTCTCGGTGATAAGCGCCTCTCCCTCCTCTTCGCTAATCGTAGTCTGACAAAACCAATCCACAATACCCCACGGACCGAAATTCCCGGCCGCGTGATTCAACAGATGCTTCTCTACTCGTCGAGCGATCCCGCCCAGGAGGAAGAAGTCCATCGGCATGGCGGAGTATCCGGAGTAAGCTAGAGTCTCTTCCAGTGAGACGATGCTCAAGTACATGGCGTAGGTGATCATGTGGAGGCGGAGGAAGACGGCGGGGAGTAATGTGGGGACGGCATTACCGAGAAGGTAGGGAATAGGGTGGTCGTAGTGGGCGGTGGAAGGGTAGGGCGCGTGAAGCGAGTGGTACCAGGATTGGTGGAGGGAAGAAATATAGCGCGTGATGCGGTAATTGTCGTTATGGAGGATGAAGCGGTGGATGGTGTATGCGAGGATCTGGGAGTTGCGCGCGCGTGATTAGTGAGTGCTTTCTGCGGCTGATCGCCAACATCGGGAGTGTAGGCATTTCAGGACAGGGCTTACCTCTCGGAGTAGTAGGACACAGGCGAGATGGAAGGCAATGTTCCAAGGTATGATCGGGATCGAGAAGGATACTTTGAGTGCACTGCGCGTATTGAAATACCCGATGCGAAGAGTTTCGATGGTAGCTTGCACGGCGATGCTTATGAAAATGTTCAGGAATGACCATCCTGCGACTTTGAGCTCTCGAGCTCGGACTCCTCGTCGCTTGCTTCCAGTCGGGAGGCCCTGTTCACCATGCGCCTTGAGCAGCACGGCGGCTGAGGGGACAAGCGCATCGAATAGAAAGAGCAGCGCCGAGGGGAGGATATAGAACAGCAGTCGCACGCCTATGGAGCCGAACAGCTCAACCTTGAATGGGGAATGCGACAGGATGAGAGTTGTCCATGTCATATAAAAGAAGATCAAATTAAAGGTGGTGTAGGAGGGGGTGTAGGTGAATAGGCAAAAGAACAGAGCCGGGAGAGCCAAGACCCGATTCATGGTGTCGATGGCGATCGGAAGCTGTTGAGGGTTCTGAAGAATAGTAATCTGGCGGCGGGATCACAGTATCTAGCATCCCCTTGCATGCTTTCGCAGGCGCATCTTATATAGTGGGACTAGGGACAAAGGCGCAAAGTAGAAGAAAGTTTTGTGGTTGTCGAAATGAAAGACAACCGCAGGAACAATGGAAGAGCAAAGTGCCTGCAGCAGCCGCCCGACGTCACGACCCACTAGCCCTAAAATGGCGCCTCGCTTTGTCAACCCTGCGGCTATTTTCGGCGGCGGACAAAGGAGCCATCCAAGCATTCGTTGGAGGTTCCAGACCTACCAGTAGCTTCAAAGGCTTCGTTCGTTGCAAGTGTATCCCCATTGGTCTGCGACTCTCCGTTCTACAAACGTTTCAATCCCTGCTCCGAGCTCCGAGGTTACAGTAAAGCGTATGGAGCCTGGCCGTCAAACTAGAACATGGAGACAGTGGAATAATGATGAAGTTGGAATTAATGATCAATCGGGATTTTTCAGTACATGATACTCCAGGCGAACATAATAATGGTCATAAGGATAAAGAGGCACGCTCAGGGTATCTAACGCATACACCAAACGACGACACACAAAGCATAGCAAACCCCCATCGATTACTCTCTCCGGCGAGCAGGGACGCCGTGCTTCTCACCCCAGCTCCAGGCCTGCCTCCTGAGATCGGGGCTCACATGCAAGAACAACAAGTTGCTGAGCCAGCCAGTGAACGTATCTTTAATGAAGGAGTTTCGCTGGCTGCCTCCGAGCGCTGATCCCTTCATAACATCGCCAACGAACATCGTGGTGATCATGTACTCGCCCCTCTCCAAGGCCTTGATCGCAATGTTTGCAACTTCTCTAGGTGTCTGTGGCTTATCAGCAGCCTCAAGCTTCTTGGTCAAATCCGGCTTGAGCTTCTGTTCGTTGTCGAATCCAGGGCTAAGAATGCCCATGGGGAAGACGGTATGGATCTTGACGTCCGTAGCTGGAGCCTCCGAGCGGCACTTGTCGGCGCGAGAACCGTTGTACATCTCAATTTCTTGGCTGAGAGTATCAGACAATGAGCGAATCGCGGCTTTGGCAGGCGAGTAAGGGGCATAACCAGCAATGGGCACAAATGCGAGGGTAGAGCATGTGAAGATGAGGTGCCTAGGAGGTAGCGGCGTTTGCTGGCTGGGAGTAATGGGCACAAGCCACCGTCTCAAGATTGCATGAGCAGTATTGGCAGCTGTCCAATACACCGTATCCATTTGGTCCCTCAATGTCTGAACTGGGGTCTCTGCAAAGAAGCCGGGACTGCAGTATCCTGCGCAGCACCATACGATATCCGGGGATTGTCCGTGGTTCCATTCGGTGACTTCGGCCATAACACGGTCACACTCGGCAGC